TCTTAAAATGCATCATGGTTGAAATTCGTTTGTGTATAAATGTATAGAGAAACGTGCCCACCCTTGGTTTTAATATGGTATAAAATGCAAGTTATAGTACAACATTCGTTCATTTTTGTTTGTGCGCAATGAATGCCACATATTGTATTACGAGCAGACACTTTATCACTGAATACACACTATCAATTGAAACATGTGATGAATGTAATGAGTATTCTCATATCTAAACATGTAAAATAGGTGCCCTAGTTTCTTATGTTAAAGTGGCCAGTTTACCGTCCATCAATATATAGGAAAAATCTATTAATTTGTTTTTCCTTTACTATTAAAATAAATTAATGTATTAATAATACTTGTTTGTATTAATGTTCTAAATGGTTTTGCTTTCATCTTTTTAACATTAATTTGAATGGATTTTTAAGACATGGATCCTTATTTCGTTATGTATGTATCCTAGTGTAGTCACTCACAAATACCATCAAAATGCTTCAAATTCTATCAATTTAAACAGAACGGCCAGAGTTTAAAGAAGCTAATCCCACATTATCGTTTTCATTACAATACAACAGATTAATGAAATATAAATAAATAACATCAACTACGTACGGTGTATATATTACTTCGCCTACGTACGATATCAAAATCATACTGTAAAACGCGATTTAATAAGCTGTACATATGTTTCTCACTTCAATTCTAACAATTTACACGTTCACTCTACCATGCGATGAAAAATCATGTTTATTGTGGGAAAAGTTATCTATTCAGTGCTTTTAAAAATGTAAAGTACAATAAAATCACGGTAAATAGTTGTTAAAACAGATAAAGCCGTACAACAGTTAGAAATAGGAGTGACTGATATTATATTTCCAATTTTAAACGTATTTTATTTTTTGACGAACTGCTGGATGATAACATGAAAATGATATATCACTTCTTTTATGAATTAAAACGTTTCCACACTCAGTGTGAAAAACTACTTTAATAATTTCATATAGTATCAACTCAGTGTATATGTTTTGAAACTCTATCAAATGAGTCAAGTACAATAATATTATGATTCAAAATATAATAATGTCACGCATATCATAGCTTTTTTATCGTTATTTAAATTGCTTTTTATATGACTTAGCCCTCTTTTGAAACTGACAGTAATTCACATTAATCTGTCCGTCCTAATACCGCTTTACACACAATGAATATTTACAGTCGTGGAGAAACTGTCAAAGCTATGTTAGCTTAAGTTAATATATTCAAACACTAACATTTCAAGTTGTACTTAAACTTCATCAAGATTCGGAGTACTAATCTTAATTGGTAACACTTAAATCGTCATACTTGTGAGTTCATTTGAATAGATTTTATAGGAATTTAAATTTACGAAATTATAATGGGTACCATAAAGATAGAAAGCGTATTTACCAGCTAGTAAGAGGGGTTTTATGTACACCGTTACTTTAGCCAACCGAAATAATAAATCGTTGTGGGTGTAACTGTGAGTGGCCCGGGGGAGAATGGTTTGTGTGTGGTGACTACCTGTGGTCTTGGTTTATGCACACCTGTGTAGTATATCACATAGAGATGAAGGATGCAGCTTACGACAGTAGCTCCAGGTCATCAAGTCAGTTTCTATCAGACTGTATACCTGACTATGTACACGATCTGGTTGGACACGAATCCAGATCAACAAAAGGCTATGCACGGACTGGAAAAGAACCACATTCTCTGATCGACAGTGTTGAAGGACATTGGATGTTATACAGGAATTGATATGTGTTAGGTAACATAAGATCAGTTTTATGTGCACACAAAATCATCGCTGTACATGTCAATGCCAGTAGCATTGGTCACTCGTACGCTTAATGACAATTTCTGTAAGGAAAACAATTTTATAAAGTGATGTTGGTTATACTAGCTGTGGAATGTTAAGCGTTCTACATGTACCACTTCGGAGATTGGACCTAATGGTTAAAACGAAACTCTTATTTCATCAATGGCGTGGAACAAACTCGTATTAATAGCGTAGCCTTTAGTTATTCTGGATTTTTTTTTATATCAAAATCATACTGTAAAACGTATATCAAAGATTTACAGGCGTGACTTGAATAAAGTGGAATAGTTGAAAGGCATTTAAACACACGAATACACTAAGCATGTATAGTGTCGCATAGACAGATGTAGAGCGTGACGTCTTTGTGAATCAGGATACTTTACTATACAACCTGGAAGATTCGTTACATCACGGGATTACAAAACAGTTTATAAATTTGCTGTAATACGAATCTCGGACAAAACAAACTGAGTGCCTACGAGAGATTTGATGTGCTATCGAGACACCCAATGGTAGTTTTGGTGGATTGACAAAGTTACGCTGTGATTATTGATTGTGAGCTGGGGATTATCTGCTGTATGTGTATACACAACAGTGAATATTTCAATTCGAGAAACCGAAGAAATACGCCCAAGGGATCAAACAGTTGTTGTACATCTGTATGTGGATGTTATTGGTTTACCGATGGAAACAGTATATGTGCCTTGTATAGTACACCGTTGTAGAAGTAGTCTATAAAACGGATCAAGGACAAACCCACAAGCCATGCATACCACACGTTTTTATTGACACAACCAGTCGTTCAGGTTATATGATGATGTGTATTCATAAAAGAAAAAACGTGTTTGTAGTACAAGCCGAGTAACAAACAAAAGAAGTAAATTACGCGTGACGCAATATTAGGTTACACAAGTATTTCTCCGAGTGAAATGAAACAATGTCGTTATAGTCCTGAGTGGAAAAGATACCAGTACTTACTGTTGTGCTATTTGTTTACTTACATAAAGGAAACATGATTTTCCTGACACCATGGATATAAATACTGTTGAGACAGACACATCCAACACGACAAGTTGTGATTACCTCGAGAATACACTAAACGAGGGCCCGGTGAACGTGCCGTTTCAATGTGAAACTACTGTGGAAGCGTCTAGTAATGTCACCGAGATCGCAAGTTTTGACGAACAGGATCATCAACGAAAGGAGATAACAGAAGATGACGAGGAACATATCGTGATGTTGGCAGAAGAGAACAGAGACTCATGTGCAACTGAGGTATTCAAAGCCGATCTAACACAAAATCTTGACTTTACACAAGAATCAGATGATGGCATTTCTGCAATCGTATCAGACGGAAATGAATACCTCAAAGAAGAAACATGGCAACTTCCAGCTGCTCCAGATCTTTCAGAATTTTGTGGAAATAAAACTTTCAACGGAGATTTAGATAGTACTCAGGAAAGAAAAAGTGATATACACGATGTTTGTTGTAGTGATGGTAATTTAAAGGGCGAACCGTATGACATGGTCTTCGAAAAAGAGGATAATGAGGAAGGAATTGAAACCGTTGAGGTCATGACAATTTCAGAGTTTATAGGTTGTACGGATATCGGTGATAATGTAAAATACCTGTTAGACCCTAAAGTCAAAGACTATTCGGCAGAAAATGGAGCATATTGGCGAGACTGTGTTGTTGCATTTCCAAAGGCAAAGGCCTGCAGTGGTGAAGACATGCCTGTTACTGGCGCTACTGGCATCCAGACAATAACACGCAAAGATTCCGAGACGGACAATGTAGTAGTTATAATTAGACCTCGCAGTGATTCGCCTTCAGATTCAAAATATAGACATATGACCAAGCGTGGTATATCCACCTACAAAAATACATCAGAACCAGTTTCAAGAAAAACGTCACCGTGTATCTCTTTCGAAGACAACGACAGATCGGAACCGTCCTTATCGTTTCCAACTAGAGCAAATTCTGACCCTGAAAGTAGCTTAAAAAATGGTCTACCTCAAGGCAATTATTTATTTACTCAATCAAGCTCATTAGCAACGGAATTAGGTGAAAATCGTTCTCCGATGACAAATAAGTCTGCTCCAAAGGAAATAAGGAAAGCTCCAGAAGCAGGTGTTAGGCGCAAGAGATGGGTACGACAAAATTCGAATGACACAAGCACAGAAGTAGCAAAGGAAATAACAGATAAGTCCAACAGTTTTAATGACATTATTAATTCAACTGATCCAAGAGAAGGAATTAATATCGACGAGTTGGACCCCGACTGGGACGCTGAGGACAAACTTATCTGGGAATTGCTTAGGTCGATGAAATCAGTCACAAAACGTTCCGATGACCTTTCAGAAATTGGAGCAGGTGTCATCGATAAAGACAATATCTCCGGAGATATGGACAACGCAAAGAAGAATAACGACCAAGATAGGTCAGACACTAGTGACAATGATCACACCAGCTTAACAAACTCTGAACCGTATACTAGTTTAGACAGCTTCGGTGAGAAGGAAAGGGAAAAGCTAATTTCGGAAAAATTGCACAAGCGACAAGCAGGGGGTATGACGTGTATAACATTCTTATCCCCAGGTTACCAAAGACCGATCACTAAGTTTACTCCTATACAATGTAAGGAACCATTAAAACTGGACGCTAAGGGATTTTTTCAAAAGGGATTCGAATCTTCCCGAAAGGATCTATCAGTACATTCTAAGGAAACAGAACAGGCCAATCAGCGAACTCTAATGTCTCCGAAACTTCACTCACCAAGGTTCTTTAGTCACCGGTAGTATATTTTTGTGTTAATTTGAAAATGGACTTATCCAGGGTAAAAGATATTCAAAAACTAAAATATTCTTTACAAGGTAAGCACAAACAGGCAAATTTTGTAGTTTATATTATTTTATAGAACTAAATAAATAACCATATGTAACTATATATCTATCCGGATGTCGGTACAAATTATCATGCAGCTTAGCAATAAACGGACATTTAACGAAAACTTCTATTCACGTTTTCATTATATTGAGGTTCTACAACGAGTGACCATCATTTTTCATGTTCATCTAAATCGAATTACTTCATTTAAAAGAGAGAACAATGTTTAGTGGATTTTCTTTTCTTTCAAATTTTACAACTAACACACAAGAGTTAGATAACCATGAAAGAGAACGGTCACGAGTTATGGAGCGTATGTCTAGCACACTTTGTTTAGGAAGGAGTATGAGATGATGGGTCTGCTTTTTGATGGCTAACATGTAAAAACAATCAAAGCAGTATATTTACAACTACATGTAATTCCAAATTCATTTCATAATACTTCATTTGGCACTGCATCGGGGAAGAATGTTTGTAATGGAGGGTCATAAAGGCAAACGGCGCAAAAACTTCAAACCGACACAGTCCATAGGTCAGGAATTTAATCATATTGGTAGAACATGTTAATCAACCGGCTGGTTAACACTTGTGTCTTACCAACACCGCCTGTTTAATAGATGACCAGATAATTGTGATAGAATTAATGCTTGTAAACCCTGCGATAGACGACATGGTGAATTACCTAATTATTTTCACAATATCGAATGTATAAAGTTCCATAGGTATTTGACGCAAAACGATTTACGGTGTACATACAAAACTGACAGTTGACCTTACTATAAGTACAACATATCAATCAGACCATAACTATACATGTGAAATAGTTTGATATGTGTAAGCATGGTCCTCGTTTTAAATCATTGTAATGATTTCAATATGGGTCGAAGTAAAGACTGCAAGACAACGTCCGAATTTTGCCGATACTGACAGACTTTTGACTTATGTAGAAAACGTCACTAAGTTTTGAAATACGCTTTCATAACGACATAATTATTAGATAAATGATAAAACCCACAATCTTGAGGGTTCACTTAAACCCGTGATAAGTGTAAGAAAGCAAACTGAGATTAGTCATATTCCTCTATATATTATCTATCCAGAAATACAAGTATAGCAAAGATGTCATGAGTATTCTTTCATATATATTGCATACTTTTCAATCCGATAGTAAAAAAATACAAAACAGAACAAATAAGATTATAACACCATTCCTTAAAGTCAACGTCGTAATACACTTCGTACCCGCGTCATTTAAAGTCTTGCAGTTAAATTTACAACCTTCCAAGATGCCATTAAATAAGGATTTTATTATTGAATCCCTTTCATTGATTGAGCTCGGGAAGTAAACCACTTTACTCCCTATGGGTAATAAATCAATGGTCGACCTGGAGGATAGTTTGGTTGTGCCAGAGCCTTGTGCTAGAACCTTGTTGTGTATTGTATTGATCCGTCCGATCTCCGCATAATATATTTTTGAAGCAGACAAGATGGCCGCTTATTCCAGTGGTTATTTTCAGATGCTTTGCTGCATTTTCTTCATAACATGACGTTGTCAGTGGGTTAACTCTTCTACGCATGGATAGTGTGTATAAACTGTTGAACCATATTTCAAGAAAGATGTAGAATGTTGTGTTTACTGTCCGAGCGTGGATCCCCTTGCAGGACGACATACCTTGATACCTAGTAACTGGTATCGGCCTCCAGGGTCAGGAGAGGCCAGACATTCATAAGCTACAACCAATTGAAAAGTGCCATAATGGAGCGTTATTACATTTGTATCAGACCTTTCACGTAGGGCAGGGATCACTGAAAGTTATCATGGTGTTTGCAAGGAAAACCAACCCCGAGGACGCCATCAACATCTATCGTGTTCACATTCCGCACATACAACCTGCACAGCTTCACTTATCACAAGGTACTTCATCTCTACTCGCTTGGTATTACAGACAGTATCAACACATATTTGATATCTTTGATGCCTACCACGTCTTTATAGCGATAAGGCTAGCGTTTGCCTTGTCATATATATAGTCTCTTAAATGTATGCATTATTAATAAGGACATTTTATTAATTATTATTTGTTCTTCCATATCAAATTTAAATCAATATTATCATAATTACTATGCTTGTCACATAAAAAATTACATGATACAAATAAATGTTTAAATCTTGATCGTTTTAATACGTTAGTATAAAGGAGGCAATCCGGGCTCGATATCATCTAAAAATAGCAACATGATGTCATCGGAATAGATATAAGTAAACTTAAGGATGACTGGTGATGTAACTGGTTACACATCGATTAAAACATGCATTTCTCTCCTGTTCAGTGCGTCCCTAAGTAACAACGCTTTTATAAGATATGTTGAACTTCAGCCAACATATGACGTCAGTAATAAATTCGGGGGAAATATCTTCTACTGACGCCATTCAAACACAATGCTTCTCTACAGTACAATTGGACACAACGAATGAATAATGTTACCATGCTACTTGTTCATTTACATACCACAAGTACACATTCATTAATGCCCAATGTTTTTATCGGTTATTGGAATAAATAATTTTTAACCAAAATAATTAAATATTTTTATGTATATACGTATCTGTACAATGAAACGAAATGTTGTACATTTTTTTTTAAAAATTCAACCATTAATTTTGTCTATTTTTCTACTGGTGTGCCGTAAATGTGTGTCCGCACCAAAATCACGATTGACCAAACCTAAACAATATTTATTGCCGTGTTTATCGGGACTGTGTTTATGGGGAAACCCTGTCTTCTATGCTGCTGTATATAATATGGTGTTTATATGATATGTAAATATCAAAATATTTATGACAGGGAATAAAGCAACGTACTTCAATCACACTATAGAGAACCATTGAGTGGATATTTCTTTCAAAAATGAAAAGATCAAACTGCATATAGAATCCCTCGAATAGGACGTCCCATGTTATGAAATAGCCTTCACTACATAGTGACAATGAAGCGTGACTGTGAGGGACGAACACGTTTGAAAAAACAGAACATTTTGAGATCTGAATTAATCATAATTGAATAATATCATTTTAATCCGGTTCTAAAAGAAATCACATATATAAAACCTAAACAAACACATAGACTTATTTTCAGGACGAGTTAACTGGCACTTTCTGATATCGTTTTCTTTTTTTCAGGTTTTATCTTGGACTTCCAAATATTTTCGATGCTGCATTTCCTTTAATTGATGTCAATATTTTAATTATACAATTTCAGATGTCACAACACAAAGTCAATTCGCAATGTCTTCCACTCAGCTCATTTTGCCCAAACTGAGCCTCATAAGTAAATCATCCTCATTCTGTGACTCGGTTAACAACAAACATGGATATAGGAGCAGTACATCGGATGAAGCAGAAACACCGGAGTCCGATGATGATTTGGTATGTTCCGTAATTATGAAAACATCATAATCATAGAATTTGTCGCGTCATGGCAAACCAAATTAATAAGAGGGCCCTCATTTCGCTAGACAACATTCTGGGATTTGTTTTATTGCTTAAATTTTTTACACAATTTCGACAACACTTTCAAAATAATAACTCTTTTAAATTATCTATTTTGTTTTGATGAAAGCATTTCCGCAATTTTCAGTTTTGATGTATTTCACTTTCGTTTAATAAAGCAATTATATAAATCCTCAAATTTATTTGTAGATGCTCGACGAAAAGATGGATTCAGGGAGTTCTTTAAGCCTGTCAGACTCCCTGAATAATGCCCTCGAAATGCTGAACAGTTCTAGGCTTGAAGACGCTGAGAAACACCTTCTAAAACTGTATCAACAGATGCAAGAGAAACCAGAAGACAACACAAAAATCTTGGTACAGGTCTTGAATGGACTTGCTGATGTCTGCATTCGGCGAGGTAGAATGTGCAGGTCCAACCCGATGGAATGGCAATGGCTGTGCATGCATGCAATATCCCTGCTTCAGTACAACTGTGAGGTTTGCGATTCCGAACTCGAGGAAAATCTTGACAATCAGGACACGGAATGGTACACTGAACAAAAACTAGCAGCAGAAATAAAATGTCGTCCATTAGAAGACAGCTTCAACAGAGCACTATACAACTGTCTCAAGCACGAGGGGAGAAAATTCATGGACCCCTTCAGGTCGTTTTCGTTCCCGAACACTCCAAGTACACCATCTCTTGGCATGTTTCCACTCTCATCAGGGAATTGTTTTAATCTATATCCTAGCATGCACGATAGACTGACAGGAAAAACCGACAATCAAGCAAGCGTGGATGATATCAATGTTGGTCTGGATTGGCTTACAAAGTTTCTGGAATACTGTCATGACAGAATTCAATCCAAAAACTTGGGGGATATTTTCAACAGACTATTCAAACGTAAAGCTTCCTCGTCACTTAAAGAAAATAATGATGACACTGCAAGCATTATGTCTGAAAGTTCGTGCAGTTCCCTGGATTGGGACCACGGTGATTTACAGGGAATCGCTGAAATTGATCCAAATTCTAAAGACTCGCCAGTGCCAGTGGTAGATAATGCATTTGGATTTGAACTAGCATCGAGTGACGTTGAGGAAGACGGTTGGGATTTTTTTCTCAATGACAGGAAACACTGCAAGTTTCAGAGCGTCGTTCAAGTGTCTGGAAATGGTAAAGGGAGAAAAGAGAGTATTCAGAATCAGAATCTGCTGGACGTGCGTGCTTCTGACAATAAGTACAAGGACAAGGAAATCATATCTCCTCTCCATGAACACAGCATAAAGCTAACATTAGCCAAATCCTACACAAGGTTGGCAGACAAGCTTATGTCAGAGGAGGAGTACAGGAAGGTTGAGGTCTTGCTGGAGCAGGTTATTGGAATATTAGACGAGATCATGGATGGAACAGCCGGTATGTTACGTTTTAGTGCGAAAGTTATGAAAAACTTAGGAACTGTAAAATCAAAACAAGGAAAGTCCTCCGCTGGTTTAGCCCTCCTAAATCAGGCGCTAGAAACCTATCGCGATCTGCAAGATGAAGAATCCAATTTTGAAATAGCAACCGCTCTTCTGGAACTTGGAAACGGCTATGTGGTGGGTAAAAACAATGACGATGGTGTTTTCGATGATGCAATATCTGCCATTCGGGAGTTCTTCGAGAAAGATTTTTCCGACAGTGAAAGCACAAATTCTAGTCCAAATAAGTCCGAGCCTTCGTCTCCACAAAAGACAGCAGAAGAGGAAAAGAACATTGAAGAGGCTGCCCATTGCTATAAGGAAGCTCTTTCCCTACTTCATGGTCGGCATAGTGAAGAAAAAGATAGGATTGTCGTAGCTAAAGCTACCATGAGGTTGGGAGATTGCTATTTCATGCAGAAAGACTATGGCAGGGCACTCGAATGCTTTGAAAAGTCACTAATCTTGTTTCGTGATACCACAACACACGGCAGAGAATTTGTTTTGGAAAATGCCCATGTGATGTGTATGCTTGGTGTTTCAAGCTTCATGCTGCATATCTACCCCAGGGCGGCTACAGTTTTTGAACTGGCCCTCCATTTAGTCAGGTACGCATCTGGTCTGAACAGCTCTTACATGCACGGGCTGATCATATCATTTATGGGCATCACATTTTACAAGATGAAAAATTACCATAGGTGTGTATCCATGTGTTATCAAGCATTTGAACTGTTCTGCAATATGCATGGCAGCAAACTGCCTCATCTACCAAAGCAAAAGTTTTGGATGGTTTGTCAAGTACTGTACGTCATGGGCAACTCCTACAACATCATCTGCCTTCACCAGAAAGCCATCAAATACCTTACGGTGGCACGGACAGTGATGATGGCTTCAAAATCGAGGGACCGTAGGCAATTCATGAGAGTTCTGCAAATTCTTGGAGATTGTCATTTTGCACAGTATGACTACAAGACGGCACTAACCTTCTACAACGAAGCTTTAGAATATGGAGAATGTGAGAGTCAGATTTCCTTTGATGAAGTGTTCGACCCAAACACGATGTCGGACGATATGACTATGCATAACGAGCTTATCAGTAAGTCTGCCGAGGCACACATCAGCATGCAGCAATACCAAAATGCTGTTCACTACTTGGAGCAAGCCCACGATATGCAGGAGGTTATGGGAGAGGATATCAAAGGGGATCTCATCAGCACTCTCTACCAGCTTGGTCACATTCATTCTATGGCTGGAGATGTGGACAAAGCCATAGAATCGTTTGCAGAGAGCTTAGAGGTGTACAGAGAAATACACAAGGGTGAGCTTGGGCCAGATATGTCAGTGACCCTAGGTAACCTTGCTACTATGTGTTATGTAAAAGCGTGTGTATGCGAGGACAATGAGGGTGAGCTAGAAATGATACTTGCTGCAGAACAACATTTTCAAGATGCACTAAAACTTGATCAGAACCCAAGTGTTAGTGTGAAGTACGGAAATTTCTTGTACAGCCAAGGGAATTATGACGATGCTGTTATGTACTTGGAAGATGCTCTCAAGATTGAGGACATTGATATCGCATCTGACCTTGTATACGGCGGCCTTGACAAGGTAACACTACCAGATTGTCTGCAGGATGAGGTTGACACACAAGAAGAAGTTGTCTTACCTCCCTCGGCTCTTGCAAGGTACATTCTGATTCTCTCACACAAATATCTCAACCAAATGGATCTGGCAGAAAAGCATCTCTTCCATCTCTTATATGAAGCTTTGGAAACTGACATTCCCATATTGTACTCAGTTCTGGGATATTCCATGATGGAAATGGGCCTGTTCGAGGAAGCTATTTGGAGTTTCGGTTTGGCAATATCTCTTGAGAATGAATACTCCCTAGCCATAGACAACTACTGTACATGTTTATTGATCTGGACAATGCGCACACTACAGCGGGCAATTGAGAACATTTGTCTGTACCACGGATTGACTTGCTATGTGTATCTATACTGGTGATGCGGCCTCAGTATTGATCTACACAGATATACAAAGCCTTATTACAATGTAGCTTATGCTCATCCTAACACAAAATCTAAATTATTGTCATTCTCAGATAAAATATTGCCAGCTTAGTATCTTTTTACCACATTAGTACCGAATGTTTCTATGAGTTCCGAGTTGTGAAAGCAATAACCATTATTCTGGCGCCACCATTCAAAGGTAATATGGGTTATCAAACAGCAAAAAACTGAAATGGCAATTTCATTGCACAAAATCCTTATTAAAATAAAATATAATGTCTTTACCAATTCCTTAAGCATTTGTATTATTGCGATAACCTTTTATCCTACGAAGATATTATTTTAGATTTCTTTTGTTTTAAAATTTTGCAGGAAGATATTTGTGTTCAAATAGATAACTACTAAAAGCAATAATGAATGTGTTACTTACACCTCTAATATTCTACTTTAGACAATTACATAACACAATCATAATACCATCTCTACACCTTATTCACTGAAACAGCAATTTGAATTCCACAAGCAACACACAGGTATTAATGTGTATTGATCCAAACATTTGAGCAATTGCAGTCACAAACTTTCTTGTTAAAACATTCTGTCTGTAGTTATCAACAGTGTATTCAACAAATATCCTTTGATTTGAAAGAAAAGATATCCCATTTTTACTTTTGCTTCATAATCAGCTTATTCATCATATCCAGGCAAAAAGGTCCTCTCTCAAACATATCAATTCCCAACTTCACACATCCACTTCTAGGAAACCATCAGCACTTGAGGCGAAACTAGATATATACACTGTGATGCCACATCTATTTGCATGGTCAAGTGCAGCTTAGGTAAAGAGCAACAAACGTTTAAGTGCGTACATGTGTATGGTAAAATCAAAACCATAAAAACTATTTATCAAAGTATACTAGCATATCAAATTATGAAAGCTTTTGCGGTAAATCATTTCCATGATTTTCTTTCAAATGGCGATTAATTCCTTTTACATCAGTTGGGTAAATCCGAACAATCACATGCACAAAAGGGATCATCTTCACGAGGTTCGTAGTAAGTATACTGTAATCTGTAGTGTTTTGTGTTTAACTACATTCTATCTCATAATCCAAAAATAACATGAACAAAACAGTTCTGCATGTACATACATGTATATATAAAATGTTTTTTTTTAGTACATTTAGTATTATCTCACCAATTGGAGATACAAGATTCCAGAAAAACTCATTAACAAGAAGGAAGGCTAAAGCCAAAAGAATACAGAAGTGAATAAGTCATTAGCTGATAGTGAATTTGGTATGCATAACTTGGTTGATTTAGCTTTGGTATAGTGTGCATAATAATATTCAAATACCAGATTGTTTATTATCAGTACTTTCGCATTCTATCAGTAGGTTTTGCCACACTTACTGCTAAGAAATATATAGATGCATTATTACATTAGGTACTTGATAAAGTCATTTAAATACATACCAATATTCTTATCTGTCCATTAAATATTCCTATCTCTGGATCTATCTAACGGAGATTACAACACATATTAACTGTTCCAACATCACTCATCTTAAATTGTGCCAATTCTACTAAACTATCCACCTGTGAAGAATGTCTGATTAAAAGATGTTCTATTTTGTGTATAAGTAGGTTTGAATGTGTGTCCCAACACATGGTTTAGTTGTGTAGAACTAGGACATTTTTACCTAGATAAATTAAAAGTGAATTGTATTTTCCTCCTTAAATGTATTAACTTTATATATCCACTGCAGCAACAGGTTGCATTAAAACAGCAGAGTTTGTGACAATGACAACATCAAACATATCACACAGTTTACAAGAAAGTCATGTGACTTTTATCATTTAAGGGGTTATCAACAGTATATCAATGTACATTATATGTCGCCATTCAAAAAGTGGTATTAAACATGATGATCATTATTGCCTACAAGATTTATTGATAGATCAATGAGCACTCACAACTGTGTGTATAATTCATCATTTTGTATAAATACTGCTCTACACTTATGAAATGCCAGTATTATTTTGTTGATATTGTTTTTTAAAATTGATATTTTTTACATTATCACATAATTACCATGTATTTAGTAAATACACCCATGTCATATATTTTGCGTATTAATACCATTAATATATAACTGATTGTAAATCTCATCTGTAGTGGAAACTCGTGTGGGGTCCTCTATTAGTTATTAGATTCATGTCCATCAATTTTGTAAATATACTGCCGGTAGATTATTAGATTATGTAAATTATCATACTCGTTTTCCAATTCCTCAAAATCAAATTAAGAAAATACTTCAATTGATATTCAACATAGTTTTTCAGCTAGATGTGAAAGTTTGTCCATCATCATGAAAAAAGATATTAAAACTCTTGATGCACGTCCTGAAGTTAAACTAGTTTACGGTAGAACATTGGAATATTGTCACTATTTGTCCACCTACATGTTATCACTATAGAGTTTCAGTTACAGCATCATATAAAGGGGGATGTCAGATTGAAGAACAAATCCCATATACATGTCTGTGGGCCTCGTGCTGTAAGTTAGATAATTCTGTCACTTTTACTCAGGTTATACTTGTTTCGTTTTTGCACATGACTAAATAAAACTGTATGATATTGTAGTATTTTATCTCCACACTCTGCCATAGTTTCCTTCTCAGCATGTACATATTATGTGATATTTCTAAAGTTATAATCTATTTTTTTTTTTATATATGATTAATGATGATGGGGCATCTGAATATTTGAATATTTGGATAACTTTTTACTGTGTTGGAAATAATATTGTTTGATCATAACAAATCAATTTGGGAGTAACTTGACTGATGTTTCAATTATTTTTTTTTATTCCAATATCCCTGGCTTTTAACACATATTTGATTGTTGTTTGCTAATTGAACAATACAAAATGCTGGACAAGCTTAGCTGTCAAATATCAAAAACTGTCAACAAGCCTTGTACATTTCGTAGCACAAATTATCCTAAATGAAGAGGATGATTTGACTTCATTGTTCCAAAAAATATATTTAAAGTCAAGCTTAGTTAATCTAGTCTAATAAATATCCCAATCCTCCAGAGAAAGAACACAAACTGGATAATACCATAACTGATTAAGCAGTGGCCTAGACTAAGGAAGCTCAATTTTGGGGGGTTATTTTATGAGAAAAACATCACGGACTACCTAACAAGTTCATCAAATGTTCTTATTTAATAAACTGAAAAGATTTTTTTACAAATTGTTAAGCTTACCTGATCTGATGAATTGGGGTCCCTGACTGACTTCATGAGATGAATTGTGTAAAGAATGCAGCTGTACATTCCTCGCTATCTGTGATTTGATTATCCATGTGATATTGATGTATATAATATTAAAGTGATATGCTTTTAAAACATGTATAATTCATTAAGTAAGATAATTGCCATTTCACATTTCTACACATACAATGTGTTGCTTTCTACTGTTGAAAATTTACATTTCCTTTTGGCATTTTTTGTACAGTCATTTGATAAACCTACAAACTAACAATGTTGTTATAATCCAATAAAAGCAAGAACCATTACACGTGAACATTTTCCAATTTTCCAACCTGAAACTGTTCAGGTCTCTCCGTCAAACTGTTTGAGTATTCGGTAGCCAATCAAATCATGACGTCCAATTCAAATTATGACAGAAATTCTTGAATGGTGTCTTAATTGACATTCACCACCTGGCGGAACTGGTAACCATAGAAAAACAATCTTGTTCTTGCAAAAATGACTGTTCCACCATTTGGTTAAACAGTTTGTTAAAAATGTATTTTGAACCGAATGAAACCACAAAGAGCGATAAAACGATATTGTCTTTGATGTCTTGAATGTAAATATAAGGATTGAAAAGTACATTTTTAACATTTACGATAGTATGACATAGCTCCATTCAAGCATATAAGATGCGCTACAGTGTATTATCATGGAATATGTTTAAGCAGAACTGTGTTGCATAACATCATAAATGTTAAAAAAGGTGCATTTTGAAACCTTAAAAATAGGCATCACACAAATTGTTTTTTTCTATTTAACACTAATTGCTTTATTCTATTTAACTTACACGTATTTGTTAATCAGTAACAAATATATTTTAGAAGAGTTAATTTTATGCCAAAAATTATTCACAATAATGATTTTGAATTCCCATTATTTCTCGCTTTATTTTATTTTTTTTATAGCAAAGAGCATTCAAAACACTGCATGTGAGGGTAAATATAAGAAACACTGAATAAAAAAATAGCATAACAGTGAAAAATATTCAAATTTATTACCATTCGTTTTTAAAAAATAATTAATAATCAGAGTTCAAATTTTCAATCTAAATATATACATGAATACAAAACACAGTAAAAAGTTTGAAAGGTGTCAGAATTGTAAATAACTCTATTTCCTACATAAGTTTTGTAAAAGAAATTAAGCATGCAATGTGTGTGGTTCAGAGAATTAAATGCCAATAAGAGTACAGTGTGGTATATGCTGATGAAACAATACTTTAAGATGAAACAATTGTTTGTAAGAGGAGTCACTGAAATAAAGAGTAATCCTATAAAATGTGAGTGTGGCATTGTTTTTATAGGTACTACATAATTACATGATGATATACAATTATTTAGGACTTCCTCATCACAAACTGGACTGTTTTGAATACACTCTTTTCCTGAATGCCATATCCTGGTAGTTGATCTCTTATTTTAACTCGGATATCTTGAAATCCTCACCTTTTCAACATTTTTTCAAAATCTCTTCAACTTTTGTCACATTCCTTGATAGATACACAATGTATTATGTAGAGGTTTATATTTGATTAGGCACTTGTTTCTTAAAGGCATAATAAAATGAAACAAAAATGTAAGGCCTATTCTATTTACAAAAAGTGTTCCCTATTTCTTCTTCTGGCTAAATATTCTCCATCTATGGACTTATGGTTTTCATACTGTCGTTAACTTGGATCTCGATGAACATGCTAATATAAAGGCACTGAAATGGACTACTTTTATTAATTATAAAATATGGAGTTTCTGTCATTTTAGAACTTCTTTTGGAAACTTCAAGTCTTTGGATCCTAGTCAATACATGGCTTCGGAAAAACATAATTGTGGATAGTAAGCTCACAAAATAAATGTCCCTGTCATATATTTATTCCCGGAATAATCCAAAGAAACAACATATAATAACAATAGCAATTATATTTTAATGTTATTCTGTCTATAGATTTAAATTTCATGAAAGGGAAACATCTCTAATTTCTCAAAAATATCACTTTCAAGAAGCTGCTACAAACAGTGCTGATATCCTCATTGCTGTGTGTAGTCTGACAATATTGACAGAGTTCTTCAAGTTAATAAGGTTTAATAGTGTGAAAATTTACAATTACAGAAACTGTCTTTCTTTGCACAAAACATTGAGAATAGATTTTTTTTTTTTAATTCATACTGTATTAAAAGTGAAATGATCGAATAGTCAATAATTAAGAAATATTTACAATTTGTTAGAAGCCTAATTAAGCAAAAATAATTATAAGAATTTGAACATGATGTAGAGTGAAAAATTCATTCTAACCATTTTAAAATGAGTACCCAAATTTAACCAATGAAATTATTTTTCATCTCCAAAACAATATGAAAGGAGAACTACTATCCTTTTTACATTTCACTATGCTGGTAAAATAAATTAGATAACAATTTATTCATAAATAATGACCACAGGCACCAGGTACATGTGCATGTTTTATCGTGGACATAGAGAGCAATCTAACTCTGTGGTTTTATGTTCATAGTCCTCTGTGACATATCAGATCTAATAACTGAATAAGCAGATTTGGAACTCAAATTATTTATTTACACAGCCTTGATTTTAGTACTATTTTGTGTGGCAAAACAAACATATCTGCACAGAGCACAACCCAGCTATATGTCACAGTCACACTTCGGGGGGGAAATGTACATGTACCACTGTTGAAATTAACACTTCTACTCTATTTTTATTGTCCAAGGATACTGGTGTTTCTTTCCAAAGCAGAAAATAACTGCAGGTCCAGTGATTCTAAGATTTCACATTGATCTTCATTTATGTCACGATTTTGACTTGTTCTTGCTACTGACTTCACAACCATCTCTTCCAGGAAAAAAATCCACAATCTCTCCTGACATTTTGGCTAAAACTTGAATGTCTATGTAATCTGAAACAATAAAAATACAATCTAATAGTTATTAAAAATTACCATTGGTACATGTAATTTAAATCGTATTCTGTATTGATTCTTATAATTATTGTCTTTTAAATATGAATGCTGACTGAATTTGACAAGGCTATAGACTGTAGCAGATATTTTGGAGATCAACAATTCTGAAAAAGACCTTACTGTAGTGGGTAATAAAAAGATATACATTATCTTTAACACTCAACACTGATTTTTTTAATTTTGATTGAAGACCTATAATCTTAAAATTTTAACCAATATTTCTACAATAATGACTTTTATTATAATTCAGTTTAAGTTGTGGATAATGACGAAAACACTTCTATGCATTATCAGCATATAAGCAAGACGTCTATGGTGTTTCATGGTTCAGAGTGCAATGACAATGTTTGTTCACTGTCAGAATGTAGAACATCCCTTGATTATCTAGATCATTTGCTTATTCATTGAGTCATTGTTCTACTGAAGTGAATAGTCTTGGCCTTGAAGTGCATACATGTATGAGTGATTGTGTGCTTGAGGTGGTGGTCTGTTATTATACTACACCGCAACGCAGATGGGTATAGTTAAATGCTTTCCATGCATTTCTCAATCTGTCTAATATGTTTTTCCGAGCATATCTCCCACATTATTTCACCAGGAATCATCAAACTTGGTATGCTGGTACATCTTTGGAAGAGAGAGTGTCATGCAAAATATTGATCACTGCAACCTACATTTTGACCTTAATGAAAAATATGTGAGTACTGCTTGTCTGGAGTATATCACTCACATTGTTTCCCTTGTGATTGTCAAAGTTGGTATGCTAATAAGGCTTTGTAAGGGGGAGTGTCAATGTAAGCAGGTTATGATCATAACTTCCTTTGTGTCTCTATAAATTGAGTCGTACATACCTAGGTGGTGTGGGATGTCGTGTTAAACTGACTCATTTAATACGTGTTTGACTGTAATCAATTTTAGTTGATTAAATATGTATCAACAAATATTTACAAACCTTCACCTTCAAACTGTATTTTGTTTTCTTTTTGATTGCCTCCTCCAGCTTCCTGGCTTGCATTACCCTAAAATATAGAAATACATTTTCATTTAACTGTCTACATGAAACTTTTGAGGCTCCTCGAATGGACATGAAAAGGAATTGGATCACACGTTTCTTTTGCTCCATCTGAGCCAACAAGAGTAAATAAGATAACTTGATAAATCTTTTTCCATAATTGTTGTAAAAAAACTGTTTATATCTTTAAAACTTTTGACAGTCATACATTTTGTCCCAACTTTGAAATTATTTTGATAAATGTTCATGATAGTTTACAAAAGGTCACAACTGGTTGAAAACACTTATCCAAAAGTCAAGTAAATTTTTTTTTTTTTTTTTTTAACAATCACTGTTATTAATGTTTCTCATATCCAGATTTGAATCTGCTTTATTCTCATTATTATTTTCATTCCTTATTTTGTATACCAGGTAGATATTTCTTTTATCGTATGCATCATTTGTAAGGCATTTTTAGGCCAACAAATTACTAAATGGGCTTCAGTGGTGAATATAGAGGTTGCCCAATGAGTGGTGGTAGGTTTTTATGTTTATCTAACTTCAGTAAGTTAATTTTTAAATTGTATAAAGGCAAAAGGTTTACCGAGTGTTTTTTACAGTTTGAAACTTAACTAATGAGGTATCTACTAAAGCACGATAACCACCACCAGTTTGAGGACATTATATAATTATCTTCCACAACGTTCAGATATTACATCTAAACAAAATATATTTTTCATTTGGCAGGTTGGGAATACATTATTCTGGTTTCCAATTGGGAAACAATTGCCATGACCTATGATGTCACAAAAGAAGAAGGTGTTGCAAAGCATTGTAACTTGTTACTTGACGCCATTATTAGAAGATTGACCAATGCAATAACAACCTAGCAGTAGCAGGTTTATCCAAAGAGTCAAGACCTACACTGTACAGTGGATGTGGGAGAAATCTACTTAACCACAGAACTTCAACAGAAATGTGGGCTGGATTGTGCATTTAACAATTATTCATTTCTCTTTTTTTTTTAATTTGAAATTTTAAAAAATGATAAAAATTGAAAGAAAAACATAAAACCTAATAGTCAGTATAAAAAATAGAGTTTTACAACAGTTATTTAAAACAGTCTAAGACTAAAATAGAAAAGCAGCTTTCTGCAAAGATGATTGAATTGATGACTGTTATTGATTATCATTAATGACCCTGCATTTAATTGGTGTTAGAAAATTAATATTATAATCAGTATACCTCTTCAGATGATGATGATGATGAGTCATCCTCGTCACTCTCCTGTACACCCTCCCATTTAAATCTTTTCTGTTTTCTGATCACTTTAATGAAAAAAAAAAAAAAAAGCATCAACTTCAGACAGTATACATGTACATCATACAATATACTAGCTGTGGGAACTGTAGCTTCTAGGCCCGATTTTTTTTTATTATTGTTATCGGACCGAAAAAAGAAAAAAATAGGGCCTAGAAGCTACGGTTCCCAGCTAAAAATATACAAGTTTATATCATACAATGTACAGTACAACGGTCATCTTCATCACCGCTACATTAAATTCCAAGCTTTTCAGGTTGTTTTTTTAATTAATAATACTCTTTGGGACAATGATCATATATGAAACACCTCATAGGATACTTTACTGTTGACGATACATTTTTTAGATAATTAACAAATGAAAAAAAAAGTTTTTTCTGCAATGTGTATAACCTCATTGAAATGCAATGTGTATAACCTCATTGAAAAAATCCATATCAAGTTCCAACTTTTACAAATGATTTTTTAAATCTAAAAATTGATATTTCATTTCCATTAACTGAGATAAATGATACTTTTTTTTATAAGAAGATGTCATATATCTTCTATAAACAAGACAGCATGGCAGAAACCTACACTGTTGTACATCTTTGGGTGGTAGGAAGTAATCACCAAGTGGTATTTTAGAACCATTCTTCTGCTTCACACAATCAGTCACGTACATGGCATGGAATACAGCCAGATGCTCATCAAGGTAGGCCTCACTGCTGAATATCCTATCAAAATGGTTTAGAACAACAATATACTTTCAAGTGTTAACAAACAGGAATTAAGACTGCTGGTTACTGATTTGTTGAGGTATTGAATTAATATTGTATGTAAGTATAAAAAGCACCTGTTTAATTAATTGTAATATACTTTCTACATTGTATGAAAGTTTGACAGACTGATCAATTTTGATCGAAATATGTATAAGTGTATGTAGATGAATTTTATAAAAGGCTTTAAACATTTCAGTTTCAAGGCTGGCAATGTGAACAATCAAAGGGAGACAATCTATCTTTTTTTCTTTCCAATTGTATATGTATTGCTGATAAGCTAGCAATTTCTACATACTGTTTTGTATCAGCTGCCTCCTCATCTTCACTAAAAATGAACTGAGCATGATCAATTTCTTCTATCAACCCTCCATGTTTCACTGAAAAAGTCAATGTACAATAAAACAAATTAGAATTACAAAGTGAAAGAAAAAGAAAAAAAATGTTAAAATACACAAAGACTCTCATGCTCTTTGATGGTACACTAAACAGTTGTAAAGGATAAATGAGAAATATCTCCCCTATTTCAATAGAAATAATGTTATCTTTTCCCAATTCATGTACGAACAGGCATGCACAGTTGAAAGGCATAAAAACACTGCCAAAGCAACAGGCATTAAAATGCTGACATGCAGAATGTGTACAGGCATCAAATTAAAAGATGCTTACATTGTACATGGCATCAAGATATGCTTCTATGAAGACTGTAAAGGCCTCAAAATTAAAAGTGTTTACATCATTCATACAAATGTACAAGGAACAATGGGTTAAATTAATAAGACTACGACAGGGGCAGAACAACATATGCCTGTCACATCTTTAATGCATCTTAAAATACAGGCATATTACATGTACAATCAAATTTGAACCTAACTTTTGTCTTTGAAATTCTCTGTATGGTATAAAAGTTGGCTTAGTTTCATCAGAATCAATGCAAGTCAAATTTTGATTAAATGATTGTACGGAAACCATATCCAATCCAGGGGTGTACAATTCGACCAGCCTGGCTCTTAGGTCTGGAGCTTGTAGAATCTATGTAAGGGGCCAAGAGTTTTTTTGTTTTTTTCAAAATGCGTTACGAAGATTAATCAAGCAAATTTTTCCAAAACCAATTTATGATGTGTCTATGTGCAGACTTGTCTCAATTTTGAACTACCTGGTAATAGCCTATAGCCTATATATAGGGTATAATGACTTTGTTTTTTTATTCTCTTAATAAAATAACTGATTGAGCTGACTAATTAAGCTATTAAACATACATTAATATTACTGGTCCATCAGTTTTGACAATCACAAATTTGATTACTCACTCCAAAGTTTGACCTTCCTCTTCGAAACACTAGAAGAGAACCAGGCTGTCTGCCCCTGCAGGAACAATGATGTTTCGGCATCACCCATGCATTACAATCTTGGTCAATACAAATTTCTGAAGAAATAAAGGCATATCATATATTTCATGTCACATTTGTATTAAAATCAACATAAACAGAACTGATGCAAATATTTTTAAGCTTATGTAAATTAAATCAATATCAAATTCAAATAAAAATACTTAAATTTTCTTTGTGTATACACATGATAATTCTATACCAAAAATTATCTATAAATAAAATTGTTATAAAAAAGCCAAGACATTTATATTCGCTGTCGAAAAAAAGAAGGATAATACACAATGTTTATTAGATCTGTTTGCCTATACATGCACTAGTGTCTACTTGCATCTCAATAGAACAGATATATAAAATTACAGGGGTGTACCATTCCATAAAAATAGCAAGAGATCCCAGAGGGATCTTGGCACCATCCATAGTACCATCTTCATTAGTTCCATGTCAGTTTTATCTTTTCTCTTCTTTTCTCTTATCTGTTTGATCAGTTTGACTATCTACCATCTCAATCATTCTTTTGATTAACCTCAAAAGTTAACATGCACAACTCAGGACCACTGAGTGAAGGGGAATCTACATATCGAATTTGGGAAAAATTCCTCCAGTTCATTCCGAGAAATAGCAATAACAAACTTAAACTGTAACAAGATGATCGGTCGATATGATTTGATATGCATAACTAAGAACAAGAGGAACCCTTAAGTGAAATTTGAGAAAGATCCCTCCCAGACATTTTAAGCAATGGGGCTAAAAAGCTTTTACTCCCTAAGTCAATACGACCACTTGCCAGCCATCTTGGTTTTCCAATCATCCCCAAAATTCGAAATGCAGAACTAGTAACCATGCATTTGTGTAATTTGAGAAAGACCCCTCCTGATCATTCTGAGAAATAACGCTAACAAACTTTTATTCTCAAATTCAAGACGGCCGTCTGTTGATCAGCCATCTTGGTTTTACCTTCCACCCGAAAATTTAATATGCGTAACTATGGGTGATGGGGAACTATTGTATCAAATTTGAGAAAGACCCCTCCAGAATTTTCTGAAAAACAGTGGTAACAAACTCACTCTCAAATTCAAGATGGCTACCTGTCGGCCATTTGAGTTTTGTGATCAGTCCCAAAAAACATTATGCATAACTAATGATCATGGGGAACCTTTCTGGGAAATTTTAAAAAGATCCTTCTAATTAGTTCTGGGAAATAGCACCAACAAACTTTAACTCTCAATTTTTTTAAGATGGCTGCATGTTGGCCATCTTGGTTTTGAGATCAGTCCCAAAAAAACAATATGCATAACTAAGGACGATGGGGAACCTTTATGTAAAATTTGAGAAAGAACCCTCCAGTACTTTCTGAGGAACAGCGCTAACAAACTTTAACTCTCAAATTCAAGATGGCTGACTGTCGGACATCTTGGTTTTGTGATCAGTCCCAAAAAAACGAAATGCATAACTAAGGACGATGGGGAACCTATATGTGAAATCTGGGAAATATCCCTCAGATACTTTACGAGAAATAGTGCCAACAAATTTTCATTCTTAAATTCAAGATGGCTGGTTTTCGGCCATCTTGGTTTTGCGATCAGTCCCAAAATACAATATGCATTTATAACTAGGGATCCTGGGGAACATTTGTCAAGATTTTTATAAAAATCCCTCCAGTGCTTTCCAAGATATAGCGCTAACAAGAGTTGTGTTAGGACGCATGGAATGGCGGACAGATGGAAGACAGACCACGGATGCAGGGTGGTTTGATTAGCCCACCATCTGATGATGCTGGGCTAAAAATACACTTCTAAATATGTATCATTTGAATCAAGTTTAATGTATAAAGATTTCACATAATTCCAGTGTTTAATTGCGTCTTTTTATAAGGTCAATATTAAGACTGACCTAGCTATATCATCAATTAATATTGCACCTTATGCATCATCGTTTACCAATTGATATTCATTTTGGGACCCGAACCGTTTCTGTTTTATATATTTCACTATAAAAATGTAGCAGTATAGTACTGGACTGAATAGATCATCGCCAACCAGCTGGTAGCGCAATTCGTTAGGACGTCCGTCTAGAAATCGGAGAGTCCGAGGTTCGAAAAATGGTCTGGCCGTTCCTTCTCAATCTCCTGTTGCAGCGGTGCCTATGACCAACCCATGTTTCAAGCAATTGACGTATGCTTGGCAAGGGAGTATCCGAACCCGAGTTGTAGATTTAGAAAAAGGAGGGAGGAATGTAGCCGAACTGAGCTGGGTCGATCGTCGGCGACCAGATAACTCAATAGGTTGAGCGTTCATCTAGAGTTCGGAGGGTCCCCGGTTCGAAACCCGATCTTGCCGTGTATTTTTCCTTCTCCTGTTCCAAAAATAAGTGTAATAAGGGAGACAATTTGTTTCGAAGTTTGTAATTATCTACCCTTTGTTCGCAATTCATTGACACATCCCTTAGACGCACAGACGATAAAAGAAGTACATGATCCACATCTGGCACTTATATCCACAAGAACATTAATTACTAGTATCAGTGCATTCGATCATTTGGCTGAAAACAAAGCGAGAGCAAAAGAAACCAACAGTTGGGCAGACAGAGCAACCACTGAAAACATTCAATACTATGGTGTTTAACTGATCTGTGGTGTTAATGTTAGTGTAAAGAGGACGTAAATAAAGGAGGTTATGAAGCATATTAGATTCACATTGAAACTGTGGGTAAGTTGACGCGATCTTCTCGTCGAAATTGTATTTCGCGCAGTTTTCGTCTGCTAATTAACCGGAAATGTATACAGAGACAGATTTTCGTATTAATCTTCATCCGCAAAATATTTTGTAATTCGGATTTTGACAAATAGATATATTTACCCTAATTATATACCACCATTTATAAGAAACATTAAATAAAGTATCATTAAAACCTATTACTATCTTAATATTAACGACTTTATTCTGTTTTGTAAGAATTATTTTTTAGTGTCGGAACATTACGAGTACTTGATCGTGGTACTCGGGCTCATTTCCGGTAATGGCGTCTTGACAAAACAAAGCTTACAGAGAATAAAACCACAGAAATGGAACTGGAGAAGCGGCGATCCAATTGTGGCGGCTTGCCGTCTGGCTGGAAGAGAGAAGAAGTCGTCAGAAAATCGGGTTTATCAGTTGGTAAAACCGACGTGTATTATTACAGGTACATTCCGCATTCACTGTTGATAAGCCGACAATGCATTTTGGGCAGTAACGTTACTCGTTAGCACCTCATAAAACAAAAAATAATAAATCTACTGAGACTAATGTGTGGATTTCTTCAAAAATCATCAACTTTTTTCATAACGACCTATGATTTGGTTTTGACACACCATACACTGAAAGGAAAATAGATAGGGAAGCATGCATTCACCGACAAGGGTTTTTATCACGTCCAGTACACTCTGCCGACTGTACTGGACCTGTTTATGCCGGGTACCGAAACACCGCAAATCTGTCTATATATAGGCAGATTTGGGTATAAGCCTTAAGTCAAACCCACAGGAGTTTGACATATTAAATATGTCAGACTCCTGTGATCTTATATTATTTATCTTGTGCATGCAGATCTAGATAACAAGTGAGTTGCTGAAATTAAAGATTATTGTCTAATTACACAATTTTAATTGATTTGGTAATATTCAATTGTTGTGATTTGTATTTTTTCTGTCAACATTCATTCCTCAAAAACTATAAACTATAAAACTATGCTATAGAAGCTTAAGTATGTCTATTCAATATGGGGTGCCTTGGTAGCTGTGATCGCTAACGTGCACAGTCGTTGTACTACTTCAGACCACTCGCTCTCCTAAGAATATCGGTTCGATCCGGAGTGGTGGTGGAAAAAATCGAGTGATGTCTGATAGGGTAAGTTGTTATCCCTCAGATGGCACGGTGGTTTACCCCCGTGGGTTTTCCTCCACCACGAAAACACCATTTGTTCCCTTAGCGGCATCGTAATAAAAGCTCTACAGAGCTTATGTTTGTTGTTGACAGTTGTACACGACGTTTAATAAAGATTATTATTTTTATGGCATCAATGCATGTCTTCCCAAAGATAAGCATCCTGAAAATAAAGATGCAGGCCTCGGGTGTGCTTACCAAAAATACTTCCAAGTATGTGAATGATAACATGCAGTGAAATTTGTTCATATGCTGTGCACAAGGAAATTGCGACATTCATCTTATATACAGTATATATAATTGTATTTGACTAGATAGCCAGATTTTCCTGTGCTCCAGTAACTGTTTAAAGTTTCCTCTGGCCCTGATACCGAACTTAGATTTTTTGATAGATAGATGTCTGTAGTGAGCCCACACTAGTCAAAATGTCTCCACACCATACATTTGTCTGTCAAAATGTCTAGGTAAGTCTGGCGTCAGGGCAAGAGGAAACTCGGACAATGCTTAAAAATGCAATGATAATATTCAGAAGAGCTTTTTATTTTCAAAACATATTTCATAAATAAAGTATACCACATGATACATACCCATAAATCTATAAAATTATTTGCAAAATGATGAAACACCAGGCTGTACTCTGTAGATCAGTCCTCTCCTGATCATGATGAACAGGTTGCAATTGGAACCTCCCAATTCTAACCATGCCATTAACGGGTACCTAAAAGAATATTGTCCCTTTTTTATAATGACGAAAAATGAAGAATGACATGTCACCTTGGTAAATTACTAGCCACTTCCTACCGACTCAGCTAGGGAGAATTTCTCTTTAGCTCACTCGGTTTAGCGTAAGACTAGTAAGCCAGAGGTCAGGGGTTCGACTCCTAGCAGAGGCATTGAAAAAATAATGACCTCTATTACACTTACAAAGTAAGTCACAAGGCAAGGGAGACAAAAAGTGAACTTAGGACGAAGTTAAAACGTCAGTCCAAGTTCAAAATATCTTATAAAATATAAAAACAACTTTTGCAAACTGTTTGAACATTACCTGTTGTTGACAATGATAGATCTCTTCAGATTTGTTTTTCATAATTGCAGTCCTGATGGGAAGAAGATCAGAAGTAAACCCATGCTGGCTCGACATCTTGGTGAATCCTTAGACTTAAGTGCTTTTGATTTTCGGACAGGCCGAATAATACATAGTGCACTTAGAAAAAGTAAGCGCCCAAGGGGAACGCCATATGATTCTACAAGAGGTTGGTCGATCAAATGTAAAACAGTTTATTTGGATTTTTGAAAAAGTTAACTATTTTTACATCATGTCTTCGCTTTGTAATGTTCGTTTATAATCATAATCATATTTCATCCATAATGCTAGTATATCAGTTCATTTGATGAATCTAATTTCCATCTGGGTGACTACTGGTACGGTAGTTCATTTATTTATCAAGCTTTTAAATTTAATTGATTATGGGAAATTAAATATAACTCCCTTTTTGGTGTACACAACTAGTGCAACTGTAGTATTTCTTGGCTATAAAAGGGACTTATTTATATTTAATCATCTCACCAAGTTTGCATTTGAAGTGAAACAAAAAATATTTTACTAATGTGTCATTATCACATCTTCATCCATTACTGTTTTACATTATCACTTATACCTTTAATTCATTGACTGTAAACCACACCCTCAGCTCACATTAATGCTTCATTTGATAATCAGCATTTAAATTAACTCTAATTTCTGCTTTGTAAATTTTGATAAATACTTAGTTTGTCAATAATCTGGATTTAATTGCAAAACTGTCAGTTTCAATACATTTCAAATTTGGAAGCATTTTCATTTATCTGGGGTTTGGTATATACACCATAGTTCATGTGTGGTTTTGTGTAACTAAAGCTACTGTAAAATACTTAACAAAAAATTATCTACATGTATACATACATGTGTTTTAAAAATTCGTTCATCCTTGATTTCTTTTACAAAATGTGCTTTTTGATACTTGTTTTACTCAAAAGCTTGTGAAAGTGTCACATGGATTGAACAATTTATTTAACTTAAATCATTTGAATAAATAAATATTTACAAATAGTGGTTTAAATATTTTTCAGTAGTCATATAATCATGCATTGTTTTCATGTCATGCTTGTGCTTGCATCAATGTAATTGCATATTAAAGTTGAACGCTTCAATTCTACAGTAACTGTTCTGTCTGATGACTAAATGATGAGTGAGTTTCAACACCATAGATCGATACAATTAATATGTATTGATATCATTCTACAAAGGTTTGCTATCATATACATGTCTTGTGACTTTGTATAGTATCATATTCCATTGTTTTGGCAAAATATACATGCACAGATTTATTGCTGTATATCATGTACATTACTGTGTCTAGGTTTCATTGTTAAATATAAATGTTTTCAAAAGTTCTTTGTTTTAATTTATTCTCTTATAACATCATCTTGTTATGTTTTGTCTTGTTGATGCTGAATAGTGATAAGTTTTAAATAAGAGAAATTATAATTACTTTTTCATGATCTTATAATAAACAGAAACCAGTTTGTTGTGTTCAATGTCAAGTAGTTTAAACTCTATTTCCCCATATTAGGCCACTCCCTTCTGTCCCCAGAGGCTATATGGGCTACACCCTTTGTTAAAACAACATTTAGTAATCATCTATTAACGCTAAATAAAGTATTATAATTACATTTTCACAAAATGAAATTGCATAAGCATATAAAACATAGCACTAGCATTCAATACATTTCCTCCTTTTCCTTTCCCAGCTGCCACCTTATGTTTGATATGTTCAATGTCAGGGAGTTTAAACTCTATTTGTCCATATAAGGCCACTCCCTTCTGTCCCCAGAGGGTATATGGGTGACTCCCTTCTGTCCCCAGAGGCTATATGGGCCACTCCCTTCTGTCCCCAGATGCTATATGTGCCACTCCCTTCTGTCCCCAGAGGCTTTATGGGCCACTCCCTTCTGTCCCCAGAGGCTTTATGGGCCACTCCCTTCTGTCCCCAGAGGCTATATGGGCCACTCCCTTCTGTCCCCAGAGGCTATATGGGCCACTCCCTTCTGTCCCCAGAGGCTATATGGGCCACACCCTTTGTTGATACAACATTTAGTTGACTGGACTTTTAGTCTTGTTCAACCCGATGCTTGATCACTTGTTATTCAAGAGTCTGGTTAAATTTACCATCACCAGAGGGCAGTGTTTTTACTTTCGTTTCTGGATGTTATGTCAACGTAATTTAAACTTCAAAGAATATTGAAATTAATGAAAAAACTTGTCTGTACATGCATTCCTGATCTGTTTATTCACTATTATCGACCTCGTTATGACCTCACAAAACAATATCATAGGGTTTGACCAGACTCTTTGTTCAGCCTAGCTTTTGCAGACAACAAGAGTCTGGTTGAATGAGACTACTGGACTTTTCGATGATGACATGTATCATTGTTTTAAGAAGTGATTTTGTTTCATTTTATGTGCGACTGCTGATTTTGTATGCTTATCACAATCAGTATGTTTTGCATGCAGTTTTCATCTAACTTGCAAAAATGTAGCATCAGAACCCATTCCTTATCATCATCACCATCACCGTCATTATTTGCAAGTGAACTGTTTATTACTGTCGTCACCACAGTAAATCGAAAGGAATATTTAAGATTGCCTTCAAACTTTTGATATATACGTAGTCTATGTAGCCCAAAACATTTCCTTAAAGATGTTTTTACTTTTCGACAAAAACCTTTGGGTTTTTAGTCGAAATATCAGTTTTTATCAATTTTGATTTTTAGGAGACAAAGTTACTGGCACTTTCATACCTCTTTGAGGTCATCAAGCCTAGGAAGATTTTAGAAAGAATCTTTTTTATAAAATTGTATCATTATTGAATGTGCTTGTTTACTAGTCTTGTAGATGTTTCGATGTTTGTATCGTATAGTTAATTGTTCTAGCTTTGAATTGCCGTTTTGTCCAGGAATTCGTCATGATACAAGTCTAGTGCTCCCTATCCGACAGACAGCGTCCATATTCAAACAGCCAGTCACAGTGATCAGGAACCTGACGGAGAGCAAGTCCAAAACAGATCTGAAACATGGCCCTCAAGATCCTCCGAAACAGGTAAACAGTCACACCAGTCTTCAAATTGTAACAGTCTTTGCCCATGTCTTTACCCTCTTACACAGGGAGAAAGACCATCTGTTACTGTTGTTTGACAAGCCCTGTGGGAGATTATACAGTATTTTGAACAAATAAACTTTATAATGGACCAAACAAAAGCACTATTGCCTGAAGACAGAAGTTGTGGGTAATGGTTCTTCTGGTTGGTCTATAAACACCAAGGTGAAAACATTTCAAACTCTTGTCTGAACAAGCATAAAATAAGTGTTTTATTACCTGTTTTTAGGTCACCTGGGCTTTGCTCAAGTGACCTATTCTAATCGCTTTTCGTCCGTCGTGCGTAAACTTTTACATTTTCAACTTCTTCTCAAGAACCAGTGGATGGATTTTTTTCAAACTTGGTCAGAATCATTCTTGGTAGATGAAGCTTCAAAATTATAAAATTTGGATTGCTACCCTAACCCCTGGGGCCAGGGCCGGGCCCTAAAGGGAAAATTAATCAATATTTCAAAAATCTTCTTCTTCAGACTCAGAGGTACTACACTCATTTCCTCTACGTGGAAAGAAAGATCATCAGGGGCTTTACTTAAATTGTAAATTTCAGGACCCCCGAGCTATCCGTTCTCCCTTGGGGAGGGGGTAAAGTTTACTATAGTTTATATAGGGAAATAACACTTTTGGGTATATTTTGACAACTTTCTGTAGGAAATTATTTTTACTTGGTGAGAATTATCCTTGGAGGTAGATGGTTTCAAATTGTAAAATTGAGATTCCTACCCCGACCCCTGGGGCCAGGGCGGGGCCCCAAAGGGAAAATTAATCAATATTTCAAAAATCTTCTTCTCCAGACTCAGAGGTACTACAGTGATTTTCTCTACGTGGAAAGAAAGATCATCAGGGGCTTTACTTAAATTGTAAATTTCAGGACCCCCGAGCTATCCGTTCTCCCTTGGGGAGGGGGTAAAGTTTACTATAGTTTATATAGGGAAATAACACTTTTGGGTATATTTTGACAACTTTCTGTAGGAAATTATTTTTACTTGGTGAGAATTATCCTTGGAGGTAGATGGTTTCAAATTGTAAAATTGAGATTCCTACCCCGACCCCTGGGGCCAGGGCGGGGCCCCAAAGGGAAAATTAATCAATATTTCAAAAATCTTCTTCTCCAGACTCAGAGGTACTACAGTGATTTTCTCTACGTGGAAAGAAAGATCATCAGGGGCTTTACTTAAATTGTAAATTTCAGGACCCCCGAGCTATCCGTTCTCCCTTGGGGAGGGGGTAAAGTTTACTATAGTTTATATAGGGAAATAACACTTTTGGGTATATTTTGACAACTTTCTGTAGGAAATTATTTTTACTTGGTGAGAATTATCCTTGGAGGTAGATGGTTTCAAATTGTAAAATTGAGATTCCTACCCCGACCCCTGGGGCCAGGGCGGGGCCCCAAAGGGAAAATTAATCAATATTTCAAAAATCTTCTTCTCCAGACTCAGAGGTACTACAGTGATTTTCTCTACGTGGAAAGAAAGATCATCAGGGGCTTTACTTAAATTGTAAATTTCAGGACCCCCGAGCTATCCGTTCTCCCTTGGGGAGGGGGTAAAGTTTACTATAGTTTATATAGGGAAATAACACTTTTGGGTATATTTTGACAACTTTCTGTAGGAAATTATTTTTACTTGGTGAGAATTATCCTTGGAGGTAGATGGTTTCAAATTGTAAAATTGAGATTCCTACCCCGACCCCTGGGGCCAGGGCGGGGCCCCAAAGGGAAAATTAATCAATATTTCAAAAATCTTCTTCTCCAGACTCAGAGGTACTACAGTGATTTTCTCTACGTGGAAAGAAAGATCATCAGGGGCTTTACTTAAATTGTAAATTTCAGGACCCCCGAGCTATCCGTTCTCCCTTGGGGAGGGGGTAAAGTTTACTATAGTTTATATAGGGAAATAACACTTTTGGGTATATTTTGACAACTTTCTGTAGGAAATTATTTTTACTTGGTGAGAATTATCCTTGGAGGTAGATGGTTTCAAATTGTAAAATTGAGATTCCTACCCCGACCCCTGGGGCCAGGGCGGGGCCCCAAAGGGAAAATTAATCAATATTTCAAAAATCTTCTTCTCCAGACTCAGAGGTACTACAGTGATTTTCTCTACGTGGAAAGAAAGATCATCAGGGGCTTTACTTAAATTGTAAATTTCAGGACCCCCGAGCTATCCGTTCTCCCTTGGGGAGGGGGTAAAGTTTACTATAGTTTATATAGGGAAATAACACTTTTGGGTATATTTTGACAACTTTCTGTAGGAAATTATTTTTACTTGGTGAGAATTATCCTTGGAGGTAGATGGTTTCAAATTGTAAAATTGAGATTCCTACCCCGACCCCTGGGGCCAGGGCGGGGCCCCAAAGGGAAAATTAATCAATATTTCAAAAATCTTCTTCTCCAGACTCAGAGGTACTACAGTGATTTTCTCTATGTGGAAAGAAAGATCATCAGGGGCTTTATTTAAATTGAAAATATCAGGACCCTGAGCTATCCGTTCTCCCTTAGGGAGGGGTTAACGTTTAATATAGTTTATATAGGGAAATAACACTTTTCGGTATATATTTTATCCATTTTCAGCAGAAAATTGCTCAAACTTAGTCAGAATCATCTTGGGTAAATGAGAGTTTTACTTTGTAAAATTAGGATTCCTGCCCCATCCCCAGGGGCTAGGGCGGGGCCCCAAAGGGAACATTTACCAATATTTTCAAATTCTTATCCATTGATGACATGACAAGTATTGTATTTCACTTAGTTTACATGCTGATTTCCACATCACATCTAAACAATAAAATAAAGCTACCAGTACCTATGATATAACTCAGGTGACCGCTAAGGCCCTGGGGCCTCTTGTTTACCAATTTATGCTATAGCCTGAAGAATGCATTGAGTCCATGTTCTTGAAATTCAAGTGATATATTAAATATATTGAACATTCTGATAATTTATAGATGCTGCTGAGTCTGGACATTTTCTCAACGTAATAACAGAATAATTTGCAAACATTCACAATGCAAATTATCACTTATGGCATTATCCCTGTGATGAAGAAGTATTTGTGAAAAAGAAAATTACTAAAAAAATCTTTAGTATATAAATCTTTGCTATAGTAAATGGGCAAGCCACGTCACCTTGAGCCAGAAAACTGCTAAACAAAATCAAAAATTCAACACTCTTCTTTTTGGAGAAACAACACAGAATGCTGGGACTCTTGACCTTTAAATTTTATGGCATTTATATGAATTCCTAGTTCAGATACCACTCAAGATGAGAAGGCAAAGACAATGTACTGGGTGAATTACCTTCTGAAGTATAGCATTTCATGGTGTCAATATTGTTTTGTTTGATTTTCAGTTGTTTTGGGAAAAGAGACTACAAGGAATGAAAGCTTGTGACAGTGGAGACGAGTTCTTACTGCCTTTAGATTTACCTAGAAATGTACAAGGTAATATAACTGAGGTTGTGCATTCATCAAACTTGCATGTAAAGAATCCTTGGACTAGAGAGCTTTTGTTATATAAATGGAGTGTTGCTGGTTTATATATGGATTATGGATAACACCCTGGTAATGAGATATACTGTATTTCATCAGGTCACTGCCCGTGTTGTGGGACAAATCTTATCAATGAAAACATCCTGATGTTGAGATTTACTGTAAAGTTTCAAATGTTTCATCGGGTGTATGACCAGGGCTGTCAATGAAAACTTCCATGTTAATGAGATTCACTGTCAGGTATTCCTTTGTTTCATCAGGTGTGGGACCAGAACTGTCAACAGAGAACATCCTACAGAGTATATCTGCAGCCCTTCACTTAGGCAATGCTCCTGTGACAGGACAGGCCAACAACAAAGCTACACTGGCCAAAAACCCGGGTGTTAATATTGACACCAACCAACCACACATACAGGTGAGGATATCTAGGCATCATTCGTGTATTCCTTCATTTTTAGCTCACCTGGCATGAAGTGCCAAGTGAGCTTATGATGTGGTGTGGCGTCCATCGTCCGTCAACTTTTCCTTTAAACATTTCTTCTGAAGAACGGACAGGCCTAGAGTCATGATATTTGGCTGAAAGCTTCGTCGGTAGAAGCCCTACAAAGTTTGAGAACGAAAATGACCTTGTTTCATTGTTGTTCTTCAGATTTTCTTGATAACTACTAGTGTATTGCTGAAGTTTTTGAAGGAACTATTTTGACTATTCCCAGACAAGAATTAAGAGGTTTGCTCGAGTCCCATGTAACATTTTAAAGAATCTTAAAACAAGGTTGTAGTCACAAAATTCTGCTTTACAAAAATCAATAATAATGTTACCCAAAAGATAGTATTAGTAAAGTTTGTCATGTGATGATTTGTTCAATATGGCGTGTTTACAATGTAGTAAACAAAACTGTGAAGAAAATCTAACAGATATAAATGACCAAAAAGGAAGTATTTGTAGGGAGATTTGTTTATGTTAGATAAGAGAGCGGCATTAATAGGCAAGATCATCGAATATTTTTAACTTTGTGACATCTTTTATTTCAGCAAATGATCGTGTCTGAGGACGATATAAAACGTCAAGAAACAAAAGTGATGGAAGCAAGAAGAAAGTTACAGGATGTTATGAAGGGCCATTTGTAATTTTATACTGTGAATAGAAATTAGACTTATAGTGTACACCACATCCAGTTCATCATTGTATGGATCTCACAAAGATTATACTTCATTTTGTAAATACTTATGACTTGCAGACAAAACTTGCAAATTTTCAAACAAATTTGATTTGCAAATATTTTCCAAAACCTTAAAGCAAATTTTGAAGCCTGTACTAGCTTTGCTAGAACTTCTGTGATATAAATTATATTTAAAATCAGTTTTGTGTACCTGTAACAATTACAGTATTCACAAGACTTGGACAGTTTGTATCACAAATGAAGCAATAGAAAGCTTAACAATTGCCTGAGAAATCATAAGCAGCTGCAGTTAACATTTGGAATACATTGTACAGTAAAACTCGTATCACTTCGACCAAAATTGAAAAATTACTGTCGATCCTGTTTGAGTTACATAAAATTGTAGCCACTTGATTTAAAGAGAGTTTGAACAATCTGATGTGACTTCAGCAAAGCCACAATGAACAGTTGTGTTACCAGTACAGGTCAATGACTGCCCGTGGACAATCTGATGTGACTTCACAAGTCACAATGAACAGTTGTGGTACCAGTACAGGTCAATGACTGCCCGTGAACAATTAGATGTGACTTCAGCAAAGTCACAATGAACAGTTGTGTCACCAGAACAGGTCAATGACTGCCCGTGAACACTCTGATGTGACTTCACAAGTCACAATAAACAGTTGTGTTACCAGTACAGGTCAATCACTGCCTGTGAACAATCAGATGTGACTTCAGCAAAGTCACGATGAACAGTTGTGTTACCAGTACAGGTCCATGACTGCCCGTGAACAATCTGATGTGCCTTCAGCAAAGCCACAATGAACAGTTGTGTTTCCAGTACAGGTCAATGACTGCCCGTGACCAATCTGATGTGACTTCACAAGTTACAATGACCAGTTGTGTTACCAGTACAGGTCAATCACTGCCTGTGAACAATCAGATGTGACTTCAGCAAAGTCACAATGAACAGTTGTGTTACCAGTCCAGGTCAATGACTGCCCGTGAACAATTAGATGTGACTTCAGCAAAGTCACAATGAACAGTTCTGTCACCAGTACAGGTCAATGACTGCCCGTGGACAATCTGATGTGACTTCACAAGTCACAATGAACAGTTGTGTTACCATTACAGGGCAATGACTGCCCTTGAACAATCTGATGTGACTTCACAAGTTACAATGAACAGTTGTGTTACCAGTACACGTCAATGACTGCCCGTGAACAATCTGATGTGGCTTCACAAGTCACAATGAACAGTTGTGTTACCAGTAAAGGTCAATGACTGCCCGTGAACAATCAGATGTGACTTCAGCAAAGTCACAATGAACAGTTGTGTCACCAGTACAGGGCAATGACTGCCCGTGAACAATCTGATGTGACTTCATAAGTCACAATGAACAGTTGTGTTACCATTACAGGTCAATGACTGCCCTTGAACAATCTGATGTGACTTCACAAGACACAATGAACAGTTGTGTTACCAGTCCAGGTCAATGACTGCCCGTGAACAATCTGATGTGCCTTCAGCAAAGCCACAATGAACAGTTGTGTTTCCAGTACAGGTCAATGACTGCCCGTAAACAATCTGATGTGACTTCACAAGTCACAATGAACAGTTGTGTTACCAGTACAGGTCAATGACTGCCCGTTTACGATATATTTACAAATCTGTTGATGCATAATATTAGATACGTCATTCTGATATTGACTTGTTATTATCAATTATAAAGTATATTTTGACTAAATGGTGAAGCAGAGGCCAATATGTAGGCCAATCTTAAGTCTCGACGGAAGTTCAGTGGTAATATATCGAAATGTGGAAGGTAAATTGAGACTGCAGTTACATATTAATTAGTTTAACCGTTCGCCTGATCAAATCCGATTGCTTTCGCACATGTACATGTAAAACATCCATTAAGAAAATCAGGGATTGATGGTCTGGTAGTGATGATGTAATCAAATTGTACAGTAAACGCAGTAGTATCATGACAGTACACGTGTCGTTTGTCTGCAATGTGACATCAACATTCCACTCTCCTTACTTGTAGGATGTATTATACACAGTTGGGGCCTAAAGTTATGTACCTGGCCTGTGCATATTAACAAAACAAAAACTCATTTTGGAAGTCTGCCACAGTTAGCTTCCGTGGTCAAACATCATGACTATAACCCGTAATGTGTACGAACTTCCCTCGGATTTGACTCCATCAGAAATCAACTGTATATATCCACACAGTCACTTTATATTTGAAACAAAAACATATCTACATTAACTGCTTTACAGATTAATTATGTTTATTCACATCATTTCATATAAATGGATTTTCAACAGAAGAATACTAGTACTCATTCTTGAAATATACAATTAAGTAAGATATATTGTAGATGTTTGTTTTCATTATCCTGTCAAGTGAGTTTATCTTCGCTTATAATTTATTGACTTAAGAGACTTGATAGTTTTGGTTTCTCTCATAAATTATACATTGATATATTGCTGCAACTTCATCACACAAGTAAAACTTGATGTGTCCAAATAGAGGTGAGGAAACTTGCATTCTCTGCACCCCTGGAATAAATATGTAAAAATCAAAGGCTCTGCACCACCTTGTGGATGATACAAGAGGACTGATTTGATCCTTTGATGTAACAGTAAGATTGACTGGGTTTGAAGTCGAGTGTCACTAATATGAAGTTTTCAAAGGTTAGATATGAGCCTAGCAATTGGTCAGTGTTTTTTAAATACTATTTTTTCAATTTAAAAAATGAAACGATTTTGCAATGACACAGTGCAGGAGCACTGTGTACATTCAATTTTGAGGATGGTTTATATACATATTACAACATAATTTCTCATACTATTGTAGTATTTTAAGTATGTTGGTGCAGAAGGTTTAAGATGTTTACTATACTCATGATGTCACAGTTCATTGTAAATTGCTTGCATTGCCTGATCATCGTTTGGTCTATGAAATCATTACAATAGTTTTTTTATGTCGTGCTAGGGGATAGTATTTTTAATTTAGAATGCAAGTCATTTCTGAAAAAGTGCAATATTTTTTTTGCAATGAGTTATTGTTCTTAGCACTTTTAACAAACACAACACTCTTACACACAACATTGACCACCAGTCCAGGTAAACTGATGGAAATAAAATGTGTTTCAACATTGAACATTGACTGGTATGACATATTTTTGATGTTTTGTTCATTTCTTATTAGGCTCATGCTCAGTTGTGTCATTTCATGTCATCAAAATAAAATTGATATTTTCTTCTTCTAAAGGATCTATAACAAAATACAGTTTGTCATGACCTTTTACTCTCCTGCAATCCAGGTTTGTGAGTCGAGTTAAAATGTTGAAGTGTTTTTTTGAGAACATTACCAGCTAGTACCAATGGTACGTCGACCTGATACCTGCAGTATAAAGGGAGATAAGTCTATCACAGTTAAATTTGTGTATTATTGATTAGTCTCTGTAATGACAATACATATTATACGACAGTTCTATGTATTGACAGTGTATTTTGTACATGAAATGATTGTCATCCTTTCCACAGGTAGTTTTTAGATTTTGAAAATAAATAATGTATTTGTGTAATATTCTTGTTTCTGTTATCGTTTAGAAAATACACTGGAATGTGAAATAATAGTATAGTTCATCAATCTGTCATGTGACATGAATATATATTTAAGTTTAAAATATTCAAAGTATTTGAAGAAAGTAGCATTATTCACATCATTTTAATCTAAATTTTGGCAACTGTATCATTAGAAGTCAAGAGTTTCCACTAAAATGATTGACTGTAAGTATAGGTGGTTCCAACCCTATAAAAGGATCAAACTGCACTCAGTATAATAGGACTTTGTTTGTCCAAGCCATAAGACTTTCTAAACAGATATTTTTTTCATCAATATGTTATATCACTAGACTGCAGTATGCCAGATTCAATTCTTCAGGGTTAGGGTCATAAAAATGCAGTCAAATCGAGATTTGTTTTCGTGAACAAAAAATCATGTCTTTCCTTTTAAACAGTTTAAAAGTTGGGGCCCAAAATTTTTGCACATATTTGAACTTTGACTTCGAGGTCAAGATGACTGACCTTACGACAGTGCACTGTACACTGTCTGGGTGATGCAGATATACTACAAATTTTTCAGGATATCTTGAACTTGGTCTAATCATTAGAGGAACTTCCTACTGTTAAGTTATAAAATGCATATAAATCAACATTTAATAAGTTCTAATTATGATGGGGACCATTACTGAAGTCCTCAAAACTGACCCCATAGTCGCAAATTATGCTTGGATCAAGTTCACGATGCTATCATATACTTGCATACCAGGTTTAAGCAAAATTAGACACAGTGAGGGATCGTTGGCATCACCTTGGCGTACACTTTTAAATGTTAGAAACAATCAGCATGATTTTCCTTTGACCTTGTGATAAAGGCCACAGCGACCTAATGACACTGCAGTGCACATCATCTGTAGGTGATCCAATTATATTGCAAGTTTCATTAAGATATCTTTAATGGTTTAAAAGTGACAGCCTGGACAAGATGTTCCTGAAAAATTTGCATATAGTTGACCTTGATGACAGGTCACAATGACCTAATGATAGAGCACTGCACATTGTCTATTGGTGATGCAGGTATACTTCCAGTTTCTTCAAGATACCTTAAATGGTTGAAAAGTTAGGGCCCGACAATAATGTACTGAAAATCTTGCACATATTTGACCTTTGGGTCAAGGTCAGTGCACTGCACGTAGTACATGTATAAGGGCAATTCAGGTATACTTAAAGTTGAGATCATATGAGAGGAACCAGAACCAGAAGAGCCAGTACTAATTCAATGTCTCCCTTCATTGGAAGGGGAGCTATAATTAAAACCTTTAGCCCGAGTAATCCACGAAAGTTCATGAAGGTGTATGTTAGGACCGGCATACAGTGGCTCTGGCACCATTGATGTTAACCATAACAATGCTGTTCAAAGCAGAATTTCCTATCTTAACAGCCAAGTCGTTCTTTTCAGTCTTCATGAATTTGCAAGTCTTGGCCAGATGGTGTGTCACATAATTATTATGTAGATCTGTGTCCCGTAAGACAAGGTCGCTCTAATGGGTCAAAGTTCAAACCATTGAAATGCTCATGTTTCTGAACAGCTGAGGATTTTTTCAGAAAATTCAATGGATGTGTAAATCAGCAAACAATGTTTCACCAACCATCGAGTAATTCTAATAACATGTAGGATCCTAGCTTGCAGGGATGAAGAGCTCCTTAAATTCACATTTGTTTTAAATCTAATACCGTATTACCAATATACATGTAGACCTTCAAAGTTGGTCAGTCATTCATTCACCAGGGCAACTTTTGAGACTGATCGGATAAACAACATGGCCGACAGGCAGCCATCTTTGATTTTGATAGTGAAAGTTTGTTATCGCTATTTCTCAAGAAGAACTAGAGCGATCTTTCTCAAATTTTATATGTAGGTTTCCCTTGGTCCTTAGCTGTGCAGGGCAACTTTTGAGACTGATCGGATAAACAACATGGCCGACAGGCAGCCATCTTGGATTTTGATAGTGAAAGTTTGTTATCGCTATTTCTCAAGAAGTACCAGAGGGATCTTTCTCAAATTTTATATGTAGGTTCCCCTTGGTCCTTAGCTGTGCAGGGCAACTTTTGAGACTGATCGGATAAACAACATGGCCGACAGGCAGCCATCTTGGATTTTGATAGTGAAAGTTTGTTATCGCTATTTCTCAAGAAGTACCAGAGGGATCTTTCTCAAATTTTATATGTAGGTTCCCCTTGGTCCTTAGCTGTGCAGGGCAACTTTTGAGACTGATCGGATAAACAACATGGCCGACAGGCAGCCATCTTGGATTTTGATAGTGAAAGTTTGTTATCGCTATTTCTCAAGAAGTACCAGAGGGATCTTTCTCAAATTTTATATGTAGGTTCCCCTTGGTCCTTAGCTGTGCAGGGCAACTTTTGAGACTGATCGGATAAACAACATGGCCGACAGCCAGCCATCTTGGATTTTGATAGTGAAAGTTTGTTATCGCTATTTCTCAAGAAGTACTAGAGCGATCTTTCTCAAATTTTATATGTAGGTTCCCCTTGGTCCTTAGCTGTGCAGGGCAACTTTTGAGACTGATCGGATAAACAACATGGCCGACAGCCAGCCATCTTGGATTTTTATAGTGAAAGTTTGTTATCGCAATTTCTCAAGAAGTACTAGAGCGATCTTTCTCAAATTTATATGTAGGTTCCCCTTGGTCCTTAGCTGTGCAGGGCAACTTTTGAGACTGATAGGATAAACAACATGGCCGACAGGCAGCCATCTTTGTTTTTTGTTAGTGAAAGTTTGTTATCGCTATTTCTCAAGAGCTTCTAGAGTGATCTTTCTCAAACTTTATATGTAGGTTCCCCTTGGTCCTTAGCTGTGCAGGCCAATTTTTGAGACTGATCAGATAAACAACATGGCCGACAGGCATCCATCTTGGATTTTGATAGTGAAAGTATGTTATCGCTATTTCTCAAGAAGTACCAGAGTGATCTTTCTAAATTTTTTATGTAGGTTCCCCTTGGTCCTTAGCTGTGGAGGGCAACTTTTGAGACTGATCGGATAAACAACATGGCCGACAGCCAGCCATCTTGGATTTTGATAGTGAAAGTTTGTTATCGCTATTTCTCAAGAAGTACAAGAGGGATCTTTGTCAAATTTTATATGTAGGTTCCCCTTGGTCCTTAGCTGTGCAGGCCAACTTTTGAGACCGATAGGATAAACAACATGGCCGACAGGCAGCCATCTTTGTTTTTTGTTAGTGAAAGTTTGTTATCTCTATTTCTCAAGAGCTACTAGAGTGATCTTTCTCAAACTTTATATGTAGGTTCCCCTTGGTCCTTAGCTGTACAGGGCAACTTTTGAGACTGATCAGATAAACAACATGGCCGACAGGCAGCCATCTTGGATTTTGATATTGAAAGTTTGTTATCGCTATTTCTCAAGAAGTACAAGAGGGATCTTTGTCAAATTTTATATGTAGGTTCCCCTTGGTCCTTAGCTGTACAGGGCAACTTTTGAGACTGATCAGATAAACAACATGGCCGACAGGCATCCATCTTGGATTTTGATAGTGAAAGTATGTTATCGCTATTTCTCAAGAAGTACCAGAGAGATCTTTCTAAATTTTTTATGTAGGTTCCCCTTGGTCCTTAGCCGTGGAGGGCAACTTTTGAGACTGGTCGGATAAACAACATGGCCGACAGGCAGTCATCTTGGATTTTGATATTGAAAGTTTGTTATCGCTATTTCTCAAGAAGTACCAGAGTGATCTTTCTCAAATTTTTTATGTAGGTTACCTTTGGTCCTTAGCTGTGCAGGGCAACTTTTGAGATCGATAGGATAAACAACATGGCCGACAGGCAGCCATCTTGGATTTTGATAGTGAAAGTTTGTTATCGCTATTTCTCAAGAGGTACAAGAGTGATCTTTCTCAAACTTTATATGTAGGTTCCCCTTGGTCCTTAGCTGTGCAGGGCAACTTTTGAGATCGATAGGATAAACAACATGGCCGACAGGCAGCCATCTTGGATTTTGATATTGAAAGTTTGTTATCGCTATTTCTCAAGAAGTACCAGAGCGATCTTTCTCAAATTTTTTATGTAGGTTACCTTTGGTCCTTAGCTGTGCAGGGCAACTTTTGAGATCGATAGGATAAACAACATGGCCGACAGGCAGCCATCTTGGATTTTGATAGTGAAGGTTTGTTATCGCTATTTCTCAAGAAGTACTAGAGCGATCTTTCTCAAATTTTATATGTAGGATCCCCTTGGTCCTTAGCTGTGCAGGGCAACTTTTGAGACCGATAGGATAAACAACATGGCCGACAGGCAGCCATCTTGGATTTTGATAGTGAAGGTTTGTTATCGCTATTTCTCAAGAAGTACTAGAGCGATCTTTCTCAAATTTTATATGAAGGTTCCCCTTGGTCCTTAGCTGTGCAGGGCAATTTTTGAGACTGATCAGATAAACAACATGGCCGACAGGCATTCATCTTGGATTTTGATAGTGAAAGTATGTTATCGCTATTTCTCAAGAAGTACCAGAGAGATCTTTCTAAATTTTTTATGTAGGTTCCCCTTGGTCCTAAGCTGTGCAGGGCAACTTTTGAGGCTGATCGGATAAACAACATGGCCGACAGGCAGCCATCTTTGTTTTTTGTTAGTGAAAGTTTGTTATAGCTATTTCTCAAGAGCTACTAGAGTGATCTTTCTCAAACTTTATATGTAGGTTCCCCTTGGTCCTTAGCTGTACAGGGCAACTTTTGAGACTGATCAGATAAACAACATGGCCGACAGGCAGCCATCTTGGATTTTGATATTGAAAGTTTGTTATCGCTATTTCTCAAGAAGTACCAGAGTGATCTTTCTCAAATTTTATATGTAGGTTCCCCTTGGTCCTTAGCTGTGCAGGGCAACTTTTGAGACCGATAGGATAAACAACATGGCCGACAGGCAGCCATCTTTGTTTTTTGTTAGTGAAAGTTTGTTATCGCTATTTCTCAAGAGCTACTAGAGTGATCTTTCTCAAACTTTATATGTAGGTTCCCCTTGGTCCTTAGCTGTGCAGGGCAACTTTTGAGACTGATCAGATAAACAACATGGCCGACAGGCATTCATCTTGGATTTTGATAGTGAAAGTATGTTATCGCTATTTCTCAAGAAGTACCAGAGTGATCTTTCTCAAATTTTATATGTAGGTTCCCCTTGGTCCTTAGCTGTGCAGGGCAACTTTTGAGACTGATCGGATAAACAACATGGCCGACAGGCAGCAATCTTGGATTTTGATATTGAAAGTTTGTTATCGCTATTTCTCGAGAAGTACCCCAGGGATCTTTCTCAAATTTTAAATGTAGGTTCCCCTTGATGTTTTGTTGTGCATGTTATATTTTGAAACTGATCATAAAAACAAAATGGATTAAGAGAAGAACTAAACAGATCTTTATCATATTGCAATGATAGATTCTATTTCTTTCACATTAAGTACTGTACTAGTAAATATGTGAAATGACAAACTCACTTTGAAGGTTGGCTTTCATACACATCAGTATTAAGTTTAGATCAAAAGTTACCTCAAGGTGCATTTACTGTTAACATGACTCGATCAAACAGATAAGAGGAAAGAAGAGAAAAGATCGAACTGACAAAGAACTAATGAAGATGGTAATAAGGTGGGCGCCAAGATCCCTCTGGGATCTCGTTTTTGCAGCTGTGCATGTTCAAACGACTTCTTTACTAGCATGAAGATTGTTAAATTTCATGAATTGTATTTTTTGTTTACAGAAAGGGAAAGACTTGTCTTTTCTTTAACAGGATATTACAATTCACCACTGACTTACTATAACAGTTCATACACTATAGAATACAGGTGATTTGAAATGGATCATTAAAAGTCATCTGGTGGTATAGAGGGGTCACCCATCCCTGTTTAAGGAACCTGGTAGTTGCATTATGGTGTCATTAACATAGAGAGAAAAAAAGATAAAACAGTGATCAGTTTAAGTTACTTTAATGTTTCAATAAATGGAGGCAACCAAATTGGGTCTCAATTGTTTTCAACCATACCTCAAACTTTCACTTCTTTCTTTCCCTGTATACATATATATATATTAAAGAAAAGGATATATACATAAAAACATATCAGGAAGAGAACCCAACTAACAATAATAGTTAAAGGTAAGTTTTGTAATTTGATTAGTGGAATCAGAACAACAGTTTAAAGGAGAATTGTTTTTGATTCAGTAGCACTACATTTTCATTTATCTGTTTTCAAGATATACATGTATAGCAAGACTTAAAGCATTCAACATTTGAAACCCCGAAAAAACTGGTCACTTGATAATCCATAAAGCTTAGAAATTCTCCCATTAAAAATATAAATACTCTACCCATATATAAACTACTCATTCACGCACAACTTCATCAAGAATCCCCAATTGTCACATTCATACCAATTCCCCTCTGGGACCATTCATCATGCACCAACTAGAAATTAAAGTCAACAAAATATATTCTTAAATTGAACTTAAACCAGCACCCGAATGAAATAAACATCTCGTCCACAGATTTGAGAAAAATGGTGACTTGTCAATGCAGTAGATGTAAATAATAGAAATGTCTGAAGCCAGTATCAGTCACAGCATCATATATGGCCTTCAGATCTTAATTATGTTAATTTTTAGTCAGTTATCATTGAGTCTCTCCAGAAATTTCTGTATGTTTATATGGAATTTTAAATGTGCCTCAACTACCTGGAATGAATTCCTAGTTATAACATGGATCACTAAACTGAGTGATACTTTTAAAATATGAACTGTCTTGATGACAAATAACAGAATGAAACGATCAATGCTGATGAAAGTAGATAACCATTTACACAATTTAAAATAAAAAGATGAGAGTAAGATCAGATATGATAACCATGCACCTCTTACATTGCATTTGCACATTTTTACTTTTATCTACTTTCATCCCATGTTCTTGAAGTGTTTTATTTATAACTCGGTCTTCTTCTTCTTCTTTTTCTTCTCTCCACCCATAGCTGCATTTACCTCATCCTTGCTATCAGCATTGCTGGCTAAATATTTCATGAAATCGTCTACCTCTCTGCCACCCTGTGGTACGAGAGAAAAAAAGTGTTGATGTTAATATGAAATATATGGTATGACATTAAACAACAAATACTTAATGTAGGGATAGAGGTGTCTTGGTCCTCTCTTCTGTTTATTTATTTACAAATAATAGGTGGAATATCATAAGACTACCAACAAAAGTGGAATATTATTAACTCATTCACCCCTGAAATTTCATAATGACCTATTCCAACCTTTATAACCTTTGAATTGGAAGAGTTCAAATGTGTCTTCAGAGGTGAATGAGTTCATTATTCAGTGAGTACCAATACATATGTGGTATATCATTACTGAGTACCAATACATCAGTGGTATAGCATCAGCAAGTACAGGATACATAAGTGGTATATCATAAGACTATCATGACCTTATTGAGATATTAAACCACTTACAAATCAGTGGAATTTCATAAGCGACAACCAAGGTGAGTACCAATACACAAGTGGTATAGCCAACTACTAATACACAAGTCGTAAACTGTAACATGCTACATACCTCGTATTTCCTTGGTTGGGAACCTTTGGGTTTAAAGTAAATGGTAGGGAAACTGAAAGTAGAAAATAAAAGCCTTCTGTAGCAAGTCTTGACACTCTTCTAGTCCTACAATATTTTCTATTGAAACATGTTCAGTTATTCATAAGTCATTTCCAGGATAATGTCAATGTATAGAATGGTTTGAACTTTCACCTTTACCTGAACAAAACAGACTGAATCATGAGTCGGATACAATATTCAGTCTTTCAGAAGTAATATAGGATAAGATTCAGTTGATAAGGTCAGGATGCATGCAAGTTTTGGATTCAGTAGTTTATGTCCCACATCTTGCAAAATCCTATACTGTAATAAACCATTTCACGAGTAGGGGACTAAGAAAATGTGGTAACAGTTTTGGTCTTTTTATTTCATCAACTCAATACCTGGTATGTTGTGTCTCAACCAGTTACAGGATGTTATTGATATTGCCCACTTATAAGGATTGAAAATATTCTACCACATATTCAATGTTTCTTTTAAAAGAAGAAACTTTTTTTTATCAAACTTTAGACATGAGACATATTAAAAATGGTGACCACACATCAGGTGATGAAATGAGTCTTTATACATGGAAAACAAATCATTTACTATCAAGGAAAATATTACCAGGTAATGTAGTCACTGAATTAAACAAGCCATTCGGATTGATATGTCTCGCCTATGCCCCGCTTTGACCATCAATGCACATATCAGAGAAACTAGTTAAACGCAAAAACTCAAGGTTGATGGAGATGCTGACGAAGACAATGGACCATGAAAGGAAGACCGCATCCAGCATTTGATGCATGTATGGTCCAAGTGTGGTTGGTGTAGCACTTATACTTTTAGAGAAACTAACTTAAACACAAAAACTTAATGTTGACGACGCCGTCGCTGGAAAAGCAACACCTAAGTCTCACTTCCACTTTGTGGCGGCGAGACAAAAAACATGAAACCTTTTATAACATCATATTGAATGAATAGTTTATCTGTTAACATTAAAAATGTGAACATCTTAATCTTATACTTAATCTAAAGCTTACCTTTTAATGTCAAACTGAATCTTACCTTTTGAAATCATATTGAATCAAGAACTTCCCTTGATCATATTGAACGAAGATTTCCTATTTTACTTTGTACTGAATCTAAAACTTACCCTCTAACTTCATATTGACTAGGCACATCGTTTGCTGTAGCATCCATTTTTGCAATAACAACGGAAGAAATATCTTTAACCTGTCAAAAGAAATAAGGTTTGTCACTACCACAACACTGGTGTCATGAGACCCCTGAAAATCAGAAAGGGCCCGGATCTTGTTTTTGGTGGCTAAGTAGGCCCAAAATGGATATTAACTCAAAGGTATCAGCAGCATTTTCTGACATCGCAGAAAAAAACCTAAAAATAGCTTAAAATTACCACATATTTAATGGCTTCTTGCGATTGGAAAACATTTTCCCCCTCAATTTTCCATACTTAGTTGTTGAATAGCTATATCATGGCTGGTTATCTGGAGTAAAAATGTTGAACACATTGTTCTGCAAACTGATGAATGATCTTCCTGTTTTGCCTAGAAGGGCGAGAGACTTGCCTTACATGGTAAGTACTCTTCAACTTTGCTTTTAATACAGCACTTTAAAATTAATTTTTTAAGGAGAATGCAGAGTTAATTAATTTTGTATGTATACATTAAATGCTTACCAGCTTGGATGCCATCAAATTTCGCAAGCTTTGCCAATATTGATATTTTAGCGTATATGGGACAAAAGGGTACCTTGACGTCCAAAATTGATGATGTATTACTTATCTCATTTTTAAGTTTGTTAGCAAAAGATACAATTCGTAAATTCATATGCAAATTTCATGTGTGGAAATAAAAGCATTGATTAAAATGGGAACCCTAAATTTATAAAGAAGGTATATATTGTTTCAGCTACAGTATAATTATACATGGTATACCTTTTCTCCTAATTCATTGTATTTCGGCTCCAGTGATTTACAATGTCCACACCAGGGTGCATAAAACTCTACCAGAACATCTTTGTCATCACTAACAATCTCGTCAAAATTTTTGGCAACAAGAACCTGAAATAAAGAAGTGTTGATTAATATATTTTCATTCCATAAAGCTACAAAATCTTATTCTACACAATTTCTTTTACATAACTTTGCTGAAGTGAATATATCAAATGTTTCAATAGATTGCCACTACTAATGTACCAAATTTGTAAACTTTTCTGTTACTTACCTGTGCATTGTGTATCAATGATGACATACTAATATGATAATACGATTTTACTTGGATAATCAAGGATGTATGTCAGCCAAGGAACAAGAGGGGGAATACTGCCTTAGTGGCAAGATCCAGGGATACTCTTGACTAGTTCAGAAACGTTGGGCATGGTCAGTGACTGGATGGGTGCCTGCCCTACACACGTAAAATTGTGTTCACCTTTTCAGTAGCCTTGTTTCACAATATATTACTTCACATAAACTTTTATCATAATTGTAAATTCTAATTGAATTACTTAACAGGTGCTCCGACATGTGCTTGACTACAACCCCCCCCCCCCCCCGGTCATTATTTAATATCATTGACCTTGACCTTTTTAAACCCTCTTGCAGTGTATCACCATGTAAAATTTTAAAAAAAATATACACTTTTGATTTTGAGAAAAAGACTGTAGCAATTTTTAGCAAGAGCTTAGAACTTTTAAACCACTATTGCACATCTATTATTTAGTGTATCACCATGTCAAATTTCAGAAAGATCAGTCTTTCATATTTCCAAGATAATAATGAAATTGTGGATGAACAGACAGACAGATGGACACTGATTGTTGTGGCACCAAAATTCAGATTACAACTTTCAATGGTTCATGAACAAGAGCCCCCGAAAAATCTTGCAAAAAGGGGCATATAGCTCTGACACTGAAAAAGCCCCAATTTAGTTCACATTAAGTAGCCATGACCCTTGACACTCATACAGACCCAAAAACACACTTGGGAGCCAGCTGTAGAAAGATATTTTTCATTGCTTTTGTAAAATAATTCCGTACCTTCACTGGACCACTGTTGTCTGACGGGACAGCTTCAGATTTCATATAAGGTTCAAGTTTATCATCCAAGAAATCGTTGACAAATTGTTTGAATGTATCCATTCTGTGGACAAAAATAAAGGAATGACAATTTGTTTGTAATTACAAGTTGGTTTGTATTCAAAAACAAAGAGTACAGCAAGAGTGGAACAGTATATACACCCGTCACATGCCAAACTAATGTCATTGAAATCTTTCAATGAAAACATTGAAATGTAAAAAATGAAAATTCACAATGTAACTCTGTAAAGTTGAGTTATTTCTTGGGTGTGGTGAAAGGAGAATACATATACCTAGTACTAGACTCACCTACGCTTTAATACCTTTGGAATGTATTTATTGGCATAGGAATTGCTTCCCTTTGCAAATATATGAAAATAAACAGGCATAATTATTGCACCCCTTAGCCCACAAATGCTTATTCTTAAATAAACTGTTAAAACCAAAGAAATCTCAGAGTTGTTTTTACTGGCAAACTATTAAGGGTTTGTACAGAAATACTGTATAAATATTACCCTGGGTTTATCAGAATACGGTCATATTTGACTAAGGTATTGTGTGGAAACAGTCCACCAATCAAAACATAACAGCATGCTAAATATAAATGTAATTTTAGCTCAGTTTCAAACTTGGCCTTAGTCTGTATATTCTACATGTATACAAAGTTTAATCCAAACTGAACGATATTTAAGAAAGTTATCAAAGTGTTAAAAGAGAACAGTAAAGAAAGAAAAATCAATTTCATATTTTAGGAAAAAACATACAGAGACATAAAATATGTAGTTAATTTTGTAGGACTAAAAGAAAGGACTTCCAATTACTTACGAGAATTCTTCAGTCATGACGAATTTCCTGTCGCGTGAATCTCTGGCATTGACTTGCACTGTGCTCTTGTCAGCATTCATGCCAAACTCTTGTAATTCAGTACCGAACTCTTCAGCATTGCTGACAGCGAAGTAAACTTCTTTATCAGACTCCTTGATCTGCTTTCCAACCTTCATAACTCTGAAATTGTTTTAGTTCCCTCGTTATATAATTTTACAAACCATTTGCTATGGATTACCTTGGTAACTGTTGCATAATAATGCCTTGTATTTCAACGCAGTCTACACAGCTTGGTTAAGACTTTTATAATCTCTATTTTCTATTTACACACAGCTTTATCTTCAGATGTATGACACTAATGAATGCTCCAATTGTATCATGATAAGAAATACTGGTTTCCTGACTTAACTGTCACTTTCTTATTTGGCCAAATTATTAGGTTTGAGAGGTTCCACAGTAGATAATTCAATTCACCTGTTCCTCCAGTAGTTAGTCCCCTTAACATTCTTCTTATAGTCAACATCATAGTAGGCAACAACTAGGGGTTTCCTGGTGAAAGAATCAGCATTGCCTTTGGTACGGTAACCGCAGAGGCCGAGTCTGAAATAACAAATACATAGAGCTAACTACAATTTGTCGTCTTTTCTTCGTGAGCAATACCTTCCCCTTTAATATCAAATGACAGTATGAAATGAAATTTGCATAATAGTTCTTTCTTTAAACAATTGGAAAATCCAAACCATTAAGAGAAACTAAACAAATACAGTGATTTTACTTTGACATTCAAGGCTCTCATATTAAGGCATTTTCAATAAAATAAAGGCTATAACCTCCATTTTCATTTTCAAATTCACAAAATACAGATATTTGGATGTGTAACCTGGATGTGTAACCTTAACTCAGTACAAACACTAAATTCTAACACTGGATGTTCATCTAAAAGCCTAGAAATTAACTTGTAACAAATATTTCATTTTCTTGTATTTTCTTAATTCATTTTTAAGAATATAAAACCACAAAACTAACAAAACTAATATACATACCAGTAGTTTAATGATTACTTAGCCATAATCAAGGCTCATATTTACCCTTCAAGACCTTTTCATTAAAAAATTAGGGGCTTTTAGATACATGACATTTAATTTTAGAGCTTTTCAAAACCAAATTTTGTTTTTAGGGCCTTTTCAGGGCCTGTACAAACCCCTGAGATATTTTGTGGGGTTTGTGGGAATGGGGATTTTTTTTAAAGAAAATCCGGAGGGGAAACTACCCATAAACAAAGATTAGCATTAATGGAGACTAGATTAAATTCTACTGAAACTTACAAATTCATGTCCAGGAAGTTCCTCAGGTTATCAGTTGTCACTGACTTTTCAAACTTGGTAGTCGATTCTTCAAATTTACTGTGGAAAACTTTAGGCTGAAGTAGGACAATTTCACTGAAACAAAAACAAAACAATCAACATGTTTACCTCTATTAAACAGGTAACATACACAACAGTAATAAGCTGAGAATTAATCACAATTAACTCCAGTAGTCTCTGACATTTTTATATCATGTTTGTAATGTTTTGACAATTTAAACAGAACAAATTAAGTACAAACAAATGCCAGTTGTATGTAAATGGGGGAGTGCTTTGATTTTTAGAAGAATTTCTCCCTTTATTTGTACTTCATAGCAGATAACCCTTCATGCAAGATTGAAACTCACTCAGAATAACCATATTTGTCCATGACAGCCTGATCTGATGTGAAGGCAAATCGAACTTTTTCGTTCAAAACACCGGCAGCTTTCTTAAATGCCTCCAAGTCTTTAGTGTCTTTGAAAAATCCTGAAAACAGGAAAAACATCAACCATATATTAAATCAACTTGTCATGTTGTATTAATCATAAATATTTTATTATATATAGGATTCAAACTTCTAGACAGCCAGATTTCAAATAAATCAGGGTTATTCACTTTAAGGTCTTAGTATAAGATAATTTTTAAAGTTCTATATAAGAAAAGTTTCCTTTAAGGTGTACACTTTGCATATAACAGTAGGTGAACATTTTGATAGTATTCCCTTTATGTTTAACTTTTACAGATTCCTCCACTGAGCTGAGAACATCCACTTAGCTTGCAGATGGTTTAACACCTCTTGACCAAATATCATTCATGTGAGAACCAAGTAGACTTAGCTGAGGTAAATGTGAACAGATGAGTTATTTCTAAAGAATGCATAAGAATGGTTGGTTCTTATTAAAACAAAATGGTCTCTGAAAACATTTCACCCTGGTCTTCTTTAGATATACGTTGGTTTAAAACTCTTCTTTTACCATGGCATGGGACTCATATCGAAATTTTTAAATACCTAAAGCTGGGTGTAATATAAAACTTCGCAATAAAGAAGTTTTCAAACATTCATCTCATCATTTATTACTGATAATATATATAGTTGAGTGGATTACAGTTGTCACATTTACAAATGAAATATTCTTCCACAAAGATTAATAGAATCTTCCCCTACCCTGAGGGTTTGACAGAGAAATCTCTAACCCGAGGAGTGATGTTTTTTGGTTGTCTTACCCGAGGCTATGACGAGGGTTAGACAACCAAAAAAATCACCCTGAGGGTTGGAGATTTCTCTGTTATACCCTTTAGGTAGGGGATGATTATTTGTCTACTGTCCTATTATTTCAGTCACAGCTCCACTGACAGTAGTCAGTAGTGTAAACAAAAACACATATGGGGGGGGGGGGTATGAACATCGTCCTTTACTTTTGATGACGTCACAATTACCGGCGACGCATTTTAATGACGTCACAATTGAACACGTGCTAATTGGTAACAAGGCTATCTCCCCCTAGGGGGTAACAAGCTGATCTTTCCCGGCTAAAACAGGAGACAGACCCGTGAAGGGTGGGAGAAAACTTCTTCTATGGACCTATCAGATTTTGAATGATTCAATTCAGACATGGACTTTATTTTTGCAAATTAAAGTTAGTATGGATTGGTTTAGTTTTTCTATGGGTTACGATAATTGATCATACCATGGTGGCTCAATGCCCACACAGCATAATTAGGTACAACTCAATGATCTCTGTAATCCTTGTCATTGGACATTGGTGATAAGTTACTGGTCATTAATAAACATACAGTAGGATCTTACCAACTAAGGCATATTCTGCCTTTCCAAGATATTTTTCTGCTGCCGCAACATCGGCTAGCTCCTTGTAGGATGGTCCAGCTTCCTTCCTTAAGTACTGGACAATGCCACCTGGGATTGAATTTATAGGTTTTAATGAAAATGTCGTGTATTTTCTAAATGACAATATCAATAAATCTGAATAAAATTTTTCATCTTTTAATAAAATTCAGAACGTTGCTTCATTACAGATGTATTTTCCTCTTATTTGAACTGAACAAACCTTGGTATGGTATTAAAATTTCAAAAGATTTTTTTTTTAATATTTTGTCATATTTGACTCAGTTAATGAATGGAAACTATCCACAAAACATAGAGCAATATGCTCATTATATAAAATTAATTATTCAAAGATTTTGTCCAACATTGATCCAAACCTTTTATGATCCATTTTAATCAGAATCTGGTTATACCCATGGCCATAAACCATCAACCAAACAGATTACAGTATGCTAATCAATTATCCAAAAACTTTGCTCAAATTCTTTAGCCTAATCAAATGATACTGTTTATTGGCATATGAATTGGATTTTTTACTGGCATAAGAATTGGCCTTACTTTCATCTCTTCCTCCGTCGTAATCTTTAGCAACTTCTCCATTACGGAATACTTTTAAGGTAGGGTACCCACTGACTCCAAACTTGGAACAAGTTTCAGTATTGGCAGTACAATCAACCTGCAAATGAAACGATTTTCTCACATTTTCACTCACTCCAACCGACTTCAAAATTCTGATCAGCTATCTACTGCTCTATAAAACACAAGGATTTGTCACCGAAATCTGACAACAGTGATTGTGAAAGTTTTGCATGTTTGTTAGAGAAAATACTGATACATATGTAGCTATATTTCAGTCAATTTGTATCTCACTCAGTCATTTAACTAGATGTCATGTCCCAACTCCACACATTATAGACGCTCAATCATTTTATTCCATCGTCGTGGTGCTATTGATTGCTTACACCTACAGCCATTTTGTGTTCATCAATACTGTGCACCAGTTTCTCTACCACATGTAAAACTCTCACAATGATCACCGTCATCAGATTTAGGCAACAAACCCCCATGTTACACAGAACAGTAGATACAGCTTACCATAAACAGGTAAACAATCAGAATTTTGTAGTCTGCTTTTATGGTCAGTTTTAGAGGACCAACTTTCACTACGTTTCTATGTATAAGAGTTGATCATCTTTTTACAAAAACATAACTATTCTTTGCAAAAATAAAGGCAGGTAGGAACAATGAATTGATTTTTGTATCTGCCTAATATATATACGCAACATTTTTTATTGTTTACCTTGGCCAGTGCTACTGGTGGATCATCATTCTTCAAAGTTGTAGCAGCCATCTCATAATGAGGAGCCAAATTCTTACAATGACCACACCTGTAAAGAGATCAGCAAATAAGTTTTCTTATCCGATAGCGATACTAGCACTTTGAAAGCTTTTAGATTTTGGTTAAATATGCTATTATAAATTAATAATTATATGTAATGCATATTTTTACCATGTAGTTTTTTAATTTCCATTGGTATTATAATTAGTTCTAGGACTTTCCACAAATCTGTTGATGGAGTCCTAGTTGATTATTAGCCCACTATTCATAAGATATTTCTCAACATAAGCTTTCTCATGCATTTTCAATAAGCTAAGATTTTCATTATTTTTTCTTCCATTATAGATTTGATTTTATAATATGTATATTACATTTTTACAAACATCCATGGTGAAATTAACAATGTACATTTTTCAATTTAATAAAAAAAAAAAATACAATTCAATTTATATGCAAGCCTTGCTCAAGCCCAATTTTTTTCTGTTGGATGCAATGGATGGGGCAATCAATTTAAACTCATGTATGTCTTAAGCCCCAGTCACTCTGTCACAGTATAGGCCACAGTATATCCTGGATGTCCCCAGTTCTATATACCGTGGCCATCTCTCAAATTTTAGCTACATCGTACCCGCTTGCACCGCATTGTCACTGCAATCTGACCATCATCATTTAAAACATATTGAAGGGGTAGGGATAAAACAAGAGGCCCAGAGGGCCTGTATCGCTCACCTGTTTCTTTTGTTACATGCAACTGACATATAGGTAACTTAAGACCATTTGGTAACTAGAACACAAGACATTTTAACATCTCTTAAACGGTTCTAAAGGTTCTGAAGATATTGTTGTTTGAAACTTAAAATTATAATTTTAAAGCTTTTAACCAAAGTTGACACTTGAATCCCGATTTGCACTTAAAGTTGACTTTTGACCTCATTACTGTAATGAAGAAAACAATTCACACAGCTGGTCTACATAACATACCCAAGTATCATGACTCTAGTTCAAATGGTTCTTAGGATATTGTTGTTTGAAATTTTTATCATATTTGACCGATGTGAGGTCATTTTAATGAGAAACCTTTATAGGACTCCATCCCAGGTACCTACTGACCAAATATCATGACCCTAGGTCCTACAGTTCTTCAGAAGAACTCGTTCAAAAGAAAAGAAAAAGTTGAGGGACGGACGACAGACGCCGCAGTACGGCATAAGCTCACATGGCTAAAAAAAGGTTATCTAGAGCACTGGTCAGGTGTAGGTATATTTCCTTCAACATACCTATAAAACTCCTAAAAATGTTGCCGTCAGATTCAGGCAACAAATCCCCATGCTTTACAGAGTAGTAATTAACATGTCAGATAGCTGACCATAAACAGGTCTAGTACACTCTGCCGATTGAGCTATAGATAGCTGTAAAGACCTAAAATAGCTCTATTGACCTATCTGAAATAGGTCTTTTGAGCTATTTTCAAGTGATTTTCTTTTTTTAAGGATAGCGAAACAAAGCCGTTTTTAAAAGAAGATTGTATCAATAGGTTGATGACAAAAGACATTAAATATAAGGATTCTTTTTAAAAAATAATGATGTAAAAACATCGGAAATTCTACATTTATGAAAAATGAAAATAAACATCTAACTGTATGCTTTTTGCAGTCAACATTACCATAAACCTTATTGTTTTAAACGACTTTGCTTTAACTAAATGAAAATTGAAATCTGAGAAAATATAGCTCATTTATAGGTGTCTTTATAGCTCAATCGGTGTACTGGACCTGTTTAACGGCGAGCGATCAAAACTTTGGAGCCCTATGATAATAGGTCCCTATTGACAGTAAATTACGGGAAATTGCATAAAACACAAGAGTCTCTTGTCAACCTCTACATGGGAGTTAACATCCAAAGCATAAGAATAATAACATTTGCATTATACTTTCCCTCACTATTTTTTGACCCCCCCCCCCCCCCCCCCCNGAATATATTTTTTACATATATAGTAACGACTTTCATTAGTCGAATACGCTTTGCGGAATAATATCACCTATATATACTTTCATGGATAGACCGTATATGCTGAAACTAAGAGTATATTGTATGGAGATTATAGAATATTTGTGATTGCCAGCGAAAAAGTTAAACAGGAAGCAGAATTTGTACTCACCATGGAGCAAAAAACTCCACTAATATTAGTTCATGTTTTCCAATATCGCTTGCAAATGTACTGTCATCATACTCAATCACATCGCTAGCATAGGCTAGCGATGCCAACACAAGAAGTCCTGCAAATCTTAACATCTTCGTCTATCTTCTTTCCCGTGTTATCAACGTGTGTAACTCGCGATGGGATGCCGGTAAACACAACGTGGACGGAGCTCGTGCGCTGGCGAAACGTGATTGGTCCACATGTACGATTGGGTTCACGAAGATAACCGAAAATAACCGAGTTCACCGGAAATACCTGAATGAAAAATAGGAATATTGCCCTACGTCATTTTATTGTGAATCTATTAGACAGCCGAGATAAAACTGTTCTACTTTCAAAATCTAGATAGCAAACATATTGATTGCTGTAGTTTTTTTAGTAAGTGTATGCAGGCGTATTTGCTTTTTACGTCAAAATCAATGGCATTATAGGAAGTTTTTATAGTTAGTGTTATTCTCCATTTTTTTATGTAACTTAAACGTCGAATGTAGACACATCCTAGATACAAAGAATGGAAACCAATATAATCTCAGGGTTTTATGAAAAGTGTGATTATTTGTGAGACGGTTGTAACAATTGTCTACGGTCACAGCTGTGATCGGTATATGACGCGTCGTCCAATGATTATCTTCCTTAGACCAGCGAATCGTCATAGTCCTGACACAACAAAACGTTCAGTAAAAACATGTTTGAAATTAAGGTAAAGCAAAATACGATCGAAATGTCACATAGACAATTTTATTGGTTGTGTAAAAAGAACTTCCCATATTCCATACTTACCAACCTGAAGAAAATGTTTAGAAATAAGTAATTGTAGTTATAATCGACTCCACACATTTTTTATTTGAATTTCTTAATTTTGCATATCGGGTATATCTTTGAAACTTATTTGAAACATCGCGCAGAAAGGTACACATAATTTAGCATTAACTTATCTGTGAGAAAACAAACGTGGCTGACGTCAACCTCATTAATATACAAATAAATTGCACGATGACTGCGAAAAACTTTGAAACTCTGAAATGGAGTGTTTTTTTAAGGAAACGGAGATCATGTCCGCGTGCATATAGCCTATAATAGGTGTTTTTAAAAGAACAAAATATACATATTTCCGACGGTACTAAGCATTATTCCGTAGTTAACTAGAAATGTTGTTTTTGATGCAAGAAAGCTAGGTGGGGTCGACTTTTCGACATCGACAGCTTTACGTATATATCATCATATATATTAACTCGATGACGTCGTCACAACCAACCCGGCGTTAGCTAAATAACGTACACTAGGTATAACGTAAGCCGAAAATCTCGATGACGTCGTCAAAACCAACCCAGTCAGTCAAAATACACATGCACTCTACAGTCATACGAAAACTCGATGACGTCATTAAAAAACAGTTATCCTCACGATCAAAGTTATCCTTATTTCGTGAGGATAACCTTTTTTCATTTTACTTGTATTATATAGGCATATTGTGTCTTAAAAGTGGATTAATTTAAGTAAAAAACATTAACAAGGATGACTCCAGAAAAAAATGGCTCCAAAAACAGGACGACTCAAAAAACCAGAATGACTCCAAAAACAGGACGACACCAAAACACCAAATAACACCATTCACGCGTATCAGCTCGTTCAGCTCATTCAGCTCGTTAAGCATGAAAACTTGATGATTTTTTTTAATTTTCCCGTTAAAATCTCAGTAAATCAATAAAAAATACGATTTTTTAAAATTATTTGATTTTTTTTTGAAAAATACTTAATTTGTTTGAAAAATATTAATAAAATTAAAACACACACACACTACATTTTCGTTAAAAATAAATTAATTCAAGTAAAAAACATTAAAAAGGTGGCTCCTAACAGGTTGACTAAAAATAACAGGATTACTCCAATATCAGGACGTCTCCAAAACACAATATAATACCATACACGCGTATTAGCTCATACAGCATGAAAATTTAATGAAAAAAGGTCTAATTTTTCATTAAAATATCGATAAATTCATAATTTAATTAATTCTATTAGCTGTTTTCTGCTATTTTCTGGTATGATTGCTTATAAAAAGGTTTTTAATTGTATATTTAAGTAACTACAATGTACTTAAGTGTGTGTACCACACATTTACCATAGCAACCACTTATTCTACCGTCGCTTCATTTGAATCTGAACAAAAAATCGTTGCCTTTGAATGCAGCGAATAGAAGATACCTTTATGATTGGTCAATAACAAAAAGTGATATTTTCACACTATGAAGTCACAGTATGAACGATATCACGTTATCAAGTTGTTAGAATCCGATATTTCACTGGCAAAAATGTAATAAAAAACGTACACTTACGTAAGTCAAAAAACTCGATGACAGCATCAAAACCAGCCCGTCAGTCTAAATAATCTCTACAAACGTAAGCCGAAAAACTCGACGAGGTCGTCAAAACCAACCCGTGAGTCTAAATATGAACTCTCCAGTCATGCCAAAACTCGACAACGTCGTCAAAACCAACCCATCAGTAAAACTACAAACTCTACAGTCATACCAAAACTCGATGACGTCGTCAAAACCAACCCGTCAGTAAAACTACGAACTCTACAGTCATACCAAAACTCGACAACGTCGTCAAAACCAACCCGTCAGTAAAAGTACAAACTCTACAGTCATACCAAAACTAGATGACGTCGTCAAAATCAACCCGTCAGTAAAACTACAAACTCTCCAGTCATACCAAAACTCGACGACGTCGTCAAAACCAACCCGTCAGTAAAACTAAAATCTCTACAGTCATACCAAAACTCGACAACGTCATCAAAACCAACCCGTCAGTAAAAGTACAAACTCTGCAGTCATACCAAAACTCGATGACGTCGTCAAAAACAACCCGTCAGTAAAACTACAAACTCTACAGTCATACCAAAACTCGATGACGTCATCAAAACCAACCCGTCAGTAAAAGTACAAACTCTACAGTCATACCAAAACTCGATGACGTCGTCAAAACCAACCCGTCAGTAAAACTAAAATCTCTACAGTCATACCAAAACTCGACGACGTCGTCAAAACCAACCCGTCAGTAAAACTAAAAGCTCTACAGTCATACCAAAACTCGACGACGTCGTCAAAACCAACCCGTCAGTAAAACTAAAAACTCTACAGTCATACCAAAACTCGACAACGTCGTCAAAAACAACCCGTCAGTAAAACTACAAACTCTACAGTCATACCAAAACCCGATGACGTCGTCAAAACCAACCCGTCAGTAAAAGTACAAACTCTACAGTCATACCAAAACTCGACAACGTCGTCAAAAACGACCCGTCAGTAAAACTACAAACTCTACAGTCATACCAAAACTCGATAACGTCGTCAAAACCAAACCGTCAGTAAAACTAAAATCTCTACAGTCATACCAAAACTCGACGACGTCATCAAAACCAACCCGTCAGTAAAACTACAAACTCTACAGTCATACCAAAACTCGACAACGTCGTCAAAACCAACCCGTCAGTAAAACTACAAACTCTACAGTCATACCAAAACTCGATGACGTCGTCAAAACCAACCCGTCAGTCTTAATACACTCTTTACAGTCATGCAAAAACTCGATAACGTCGTCAAACCCAACCCGTTAGTCAAATTACACACTCTACAGTCAAACGAAACTGTCAGCTAAATAACGTACAGTCACGTAAGCCGAAAAACTCGATGACGTCGTCAAACCCAACCCGTCAGTCTTAATACGCGCTCTACAATAAATGACAGTTATGCCAAAACTCGATGACGTCGTCAAAACTAGCCCGTGAGAAAAAATACACACCATACAGTCATACGAAAACTCGATGACGTCATTAAAAAGATAGTGAAGAAAAGTTATCCTCATTTCGTGAGGATAACCTTTCTTTCATTTTACTAGTGTTATATAGGCATATTGTAATTTGAGAGGGGGTATTTCCCCCCTCTCAAGTAACGCTTTGACGTTACGCGCGATGTTGGTTACACCATGAAGTCGCTTGTTAGATGTTTTATCATATTTTGCATTATTTTGTGTGACTCCCTTGTACGTAACCGTGGGGAAAAGAAGAATAATCAACATGAGCTCATGAACTTTTTTCATAATTGTTGCGAAATAAATAAAGTGTATGGCCGGGATTAGAAGGAGAAGCTAAATGTGAGGTTGTGGACTGGCTTATATTCTCAAAATCCTTTCCATTGGTTCAGAACGAGTCGGTTGTCCCATTTTTAGATTTTTGCTGTTCATACATTGTACGTCAACATGCTGTTTTGACTATACTTTATCCACAAAGTGTTTCCAAAAATTATGATAATGCATGCAATTTTACTCGAAATAATTAAATGACCTCTCGATTTCTACTGATGTTTGACACTCTAAATGTGGCGCAACGTTATTCTCGTTACGTCGCCTAAGGGGGACATTTTACGGAAAAATGATAAGTGTAGTGCGATTTTTTCGTTATTGATCCCATAACAAAAGTGAATAGTGTTTCATTCTATTCAGTCAAGACACATTCTTATCAGGACAAATTTATTTAATTTTATGTTCCGCAATTTATTATTATGCGTCATCAATATTTCAATTTATGCAAAATGTATGTCAAAAACAACTACTGGACAAATTTCGGGATTTTTAATTTTTCTTGTGTAACAAGAAAACTTTATTTCATATTGATAATATTCTTTTGTTTGGTAATTTCGACAAAGACACATTACAGATACAACTTTATATATCTCAAATATCTGACAATATCCTCCTATCAACACAATAGATTCATACCAAACTTCCTGCTGGGTAAGAGTTACATTCTGTTCATAGCGGTTTGGAGAAGACTTGGTAAATATGCCAATCACTAATCCCAATGAAACTTTTGACGTCATTTCTGCTTCCGTAAATCTTTGGTTTTAAATCTCTGCACACTTTTATCACGAATTTATAGAATTTCTTTGAAACCTCTTACCCTGCAGATGTTACGCGTTACTTGAGTTTTTGTGACGTTTTCGAGGTTGTTAAGATGAAACAGAATTTTTCATGTTAAAAAGACGAATGAACTTGAAAAAACTTTTTCTGTGATATATAATATGACATCAAGTTCTGAAAACTGAATAATACAGAGATACTTTTGGCGGGCGCCATCGTGTTTTGAAGCGGCGTCACCAACATCGCGCGTAACGTGTATGTCATCGAAAACCTTATTCCGCATTGATGTGAATGATAGTTTTAACTTCCAATTCTACCCACTAGACGAAAGCACGCTGTTAGACAAGTTATGATTATAGTCACCATGATGAGCAAATAAAAAAAAAGATAATTGATATGAAAAAGTTATTTTATTAGTTTTACTCCAAAAATACAAAATATGAACAGACGGAATGTTGGATTGTTAGATAACCACGGATATACATGTAATTGGAATATACATTGTATCAAAACCATTAAATAGGATAGAAACTATTGATACCATGATTTGTTTATAAACATTTATGTTACAATATAATAGCCGTTCAAAGATCTAAACATTTATCTATGCACAATTTACTTAACAATTTAATGACGTTTTCGAGGTTCGAATTCGCCTTAAAGATAAAGAAAAAAACATTTAATACAAAAAAATCAGAAATGACATAAGGCAGGATGATAATGTTACAAATGTAGCTTATTAATATGTATAATTGTATATGGAGGAGTAGTTTGATTTGTAGCTGAATGAAGTTACGGTGATGCTTGTACTAATTCTCAATTATTAGTTACATAATATTAAGATGTTCATGTACAATTGAGTTCTGTGTTTAGGAAAAAGACAGTTTTTCACGAACTACAGCCGACGTCCCTGTCATATATGTACAGGTGATAATGGTAAATACGTCACTTCCGCTGTACGTATTCTGAAATACGTGACGCTGTTCTGTTGTCTCCACACGTCTTAAGATGTCGGCAAATCCTTTTTCTGACCCGATAATCACGGAGTATGTCGGCAAAAGGTCGGGTCGTACGGAAAACACACTATCCCAGGCAATCTCCAAACTGTCACCACTTCTAGTCACCGTAGGAGGATAATCTGACCAGAAATAAAGGAAAGAAACATATTTTCAAACGGAATTTCTATCGCACTTTCATCACTATTAATACAATTCACTAACAGGTACCCTTTGGAACCATCCTCGATACTCTAGGGATACGCTCACTTAAGTTCTCTGCACCTCTTCAACAGGTCATAGCAAAATCGAAGGCACGGTGCTGGCTATTTGATTGGTCTCACGTAGAAAAAAACCTGACCAATCGTTAGACTGGTACATGTTCTTCGAAGACTACTGAGGAGCGATACCCGACTCAAAGACAGTCAATTTAACCGTTACGCGACCACGAGCTTTTTAAAATGTACATCAAAGAATCAAACTAGTTATCTTGTCTCATCCAAAAAAACTGCACACTGAGCCTTTGGTTTTGTCTTGACATATTCCAGAGGTGCAGAGCGCGTAAGTTAGCACAACCCCTGGGGTATCGAGGATGCTTCGTTAAGACGATAAGAAATATATATGTAATATATGTAAGGCCTAGAGGTTCTGTATGTCCTAGAAAGGTTAAGTGGACACACTATTATATTTGAATAATCTTTAATTTATGCTAATATGTATGCATGTATGTTCGTTTATGACTAAAATGGTATCCGGGAATCCGGGTGTCATAGCGGGTTTACAGAATATAATCCCTTATACAACCTGGGATAGTATACATACGTACTTGTAAGTGATGGGGCGTCCTCAAGGACAAGCACAGAGGCATTGATGGCATCGCTGTAGACTCCGTCATAGTTACATGTCGTTACCTCCACGGTATACAGACGGTTGTCTGTCAAACTAACGTCCTCTACCGATACATAGGTCCTCATCTCTGTGTCCTCCCAGCTGCGCGTCACCTGGTCACCCTGAAGGATACGATACGCATAACCCTTGATTTCAAAAGAGTCGTCGACGTCTCCCCAGGAAAACGCTAAGGGCGAACTTGGACGGATAACAGGAACTCCAGAAGTTGTCCTGACCGATGTGTCGAAGAATATTTTAGCATTGTCCACATTTGGTGAGAGAAAGGCGATACGTTTAGGTCCAACAGATATGAAATGTTTTAGTTTAGCATCATTCAAACAGGTGATGAGTGCCAATATCACCGTACCATGCGTCAAGGTAAGATGTGTTGTTTGAAATTGTTTGAGCGATGGTACTATTTCAATTCCGTCAATGAGTGTTTGGTCCGCAAAATTCACTGAAAAAGAACAACACACACAAGTATCATTTTGATAAAAACTTTTGAAAGTGTTTTTATTTGTATCTTTGTAACAAGGTTATTCTGTTATATGAAAATGTCGATTTGGGTGCTATCTGTTGCTGTTTGTTGAAATTAGAAGGATGAAAGTGTTACATACAATTAAACTTTATTTATTTTACAGCAATTATGTGTGTGTGTGTGTGTGTGTGTGTGTGTGTGGGGGGGGGGGGGGGGGGGGTCTTATCGTGGGAGGAAACCCACGTGGTCGGGCAGGTGACCCCAAACCTTTTCACGTCCGATCGGGAAATCGAACCCCGGCCGCCTTGGTCAAAGGCACTACCCGACCACCGAGTCTTATATAATTTTATAAGTTTACCACCAAGTAATATAAAACATACCGATGGCACACGAGCACTCTGTAGATGAACTTTCAGCATCCTGGACCTCCCACGTGATGCTAACCTTGGTAAAGATTTGCTCCCCAGAGGTTATGAAAGTCGTAGTCATCGATGCGTTTGATATCATCGGTGGCGTGTGGTCCATAGTGATAGCACGGGAGTGAAAGTGACCGCGATCTCCGGCATGGTTCTCTACTATTGCCGAAACATGTACCACCTGTCCATGAGGAGTCTTCGTGTAGAGTAATATGTTAGACAAGGACGACACTAGAACAAGGGGATGCAACTGGAACCCACCACGTGTGGACCCCGCACCGACGTAAATCGCTTTGATTCCACTTTCTTCATCCAGAACATTGATTGTCACTACTAGCTCCGATGGCGACACCTGTCGAACAATCACAGCGTCATCTATCTGATTCGAACGCGTCACGTTCTCACTGACATTCAACAAAAGTCTCATTTTGATATCGGCCACTATGTTTTCAATCTTAACAGTCAATATTCGCTCATCAATAAAGAGATAGGAGCTTGCAAATGAAACCTGGACTTCATAATCATCATTAGTGTTAGCCCTAATAGAAAACAAATTCTTTTGGTCTTCAAATGATACTTCGGCTAAGTAACCGTCTGCAATGTCATCGAAAACTAGGAGTAACATATATACTTCTGTTTTTGCATGTTTGACTAACTTCTGTGTCCAAAATAATGTTCCATTTTCTGCTACTACAGTTTCGTTGTGCAAAGTATCAACTGAGCGGATTTCGAATGCTGTCGGCGGCGAAGAATCAAACATGGCGGGCGGGGAGAACATTGTTTCACTCTCAAACCCTGCAGCGTCTAACGCTTTGACGGCAAACACAAACCACTGTCCGTCAGTGAGATTTTCATCGATAAACTTAACTGAATTCCGTAAACCTGTCCTTTTGAACTGTAGCGATTCTGTACTAATGTTGAATGATTTGTCTAAAGCTACAAAGAATGTTTCAATGGCTGAATGTCGGTCGCCAATGCCGCGGAAGGATACTCCAACGTCTCGCGAGTTCTGAGTATGAGAATTATAGAACTGGTCTGTGTTGAAGACGATGCCTGCATATGGCCTTTCCTGATCTACCAGCACCCCATCCGAGACAAGCGTTGTGTGGAGTCCCACGTGGTTTATAGCCGTCACAGTGACGTAATATGTAGTTCCAGGAGACAGGGTTAAGTCGGGCCACGACTTGGAAGTGTTTAAGCCGACATCAGTTGGTGTTTTGACATCGTCGCCTAGAAATAAATGTACAATCATTTAATTATTATTCGATATAACTATTAGTTTATGAACAATTTCATTCAGTATTAGCTAGTAATAAGTAATAAGAAAACCAACAATATTCATAAGTGGATCATAGCTGGAATGTAATTAGAATTTGTGATAATGGAATGTATGTCACTTTAAGCTTACCTCCTGGAGTGGTTCCCAAAGAAACATGGTAGGCGTATATCCCGCTTTGAGAGTCGACAAATATATTCGCCCAGCATGTCGTCAATGAATCCAGCGTCGTTGTGAAGTCGAGGTCAACGTCACACGTCCTATTGTCGTTTTCTATGATATAACGTCCCCTTCTGGCAGCTGGTGGTGTATTGTCGATATGAACTGGGGATGACACGAACACAGTCATTTCCGACGCAGAAGTCCATGCTCTGACGTAGACCACATAACTCATACCATGCTGTAGATACCATTCTCCGCTCAAACAGTGAACAAATGCCGTTTGATGTCCCACGTCATACCACAGATTGTCAAGTAAAGGATCAAATATCCCAGTTCCAACAGGCATGTCGAGCTGTCCCATACTCCACTCAAATCGTGTTATATTTTCTACTCCAGATCCATTGGTTGTCCAGTGAGCAGAGATGCATGCTGAGGACGCTGACGCCGGTTTATTCTTGGAGCCATGAACAATATCGATATGCAAAGATATGGAGTCAGTTTGATTGTTATACTTACACTCAGATATTACATCGACGTTGTGACATTTTTGTCCTATCACTGCACATGTGCAGTCCTTGTTACAATAGTGAGCATCACATGAATGCCGTAAAATTTCAAGTTCTCCTTGCATGTTGATATCGTTTGAGGACACAACAGTCACTGTTACTTTACCCATAGCGCTGCTCAGTCCCGCATGGTTTTCTGCCCATACCGAGATTATCAATAATTGTCCTGGCCTTGTATTTGTATTTAGCCCGATCTGGACGGTTTCAGTGACTCCCTCAGAAGAGACTGGTACGAATGATTGAACACCATCAGTAAGCTCCGATCCGCTATATGTTTCACCAACGATTATATGGTACATTTTGATACCCGATTCGACATCTTTGAATCCAGTTAACGTGACGTTCATGTTCGACACAGTTTTACCCGATTCCGTAACAGAATGCCACGTCATTGGATCTGTGATTCCACCAAGATGTGGAGGAGTCGGATCTATTAAGAGACTGTTGGAATTCGCGGATGTACACAGTCCTGCTTCATTGCAAGATGTTATTGTAGCGATATATGCATCTCCTTGTTTTAACCAGTCTTTGTTTGGAAGCGCTATACGAAATTCGTTTACGTTTGTCAGATGAATGTTCTCTATAGGTGTGTGTCCCTCGTGATGGGTTTTAACAGAAACAATGTGTTTTACAATCGGACTCTGTGAATCTTCAAACATCCAAGACAGTTTAAGAATTGATGGATCGAACTGGTATAAATCTTTTGCTGACGTGTATCCTTCCTCTGACTCCAGAACTGGGGAAGTGATCAGTACGGGTGGGATCGGATCAACGATGAAGCTGTCGGAGATGCTGTCCGTAGACATCCCGAGGTGGTTGTCGGCCCTTACCACCACACATAATGCCTCGCCTTGAGGAAGGGAGATCGCATGTGTTATTAAATTAGCAAGCAGAAAGTTTGTGAATGGTAAAATGTCACATGTGTCACTAGCGATATGACGTATACAAACTTTATAACTCATAATTCCTGATTCAACGTCAGAAAACCCGAACCATTGAGCTTGAATAATATCTCTGTAAATAGAAGAAAAACAATTTATCTATGAAGGGATGACACTATCTTATTAAGGGTTAGTAAAATGCATGGTTTTTCTCCATTAACTTACTCATGAGCCCAGTATCTTGAGTGGTGTCCGTCAACTCCAACATGGACGATTCCCGGAACTGGCGGTGAATTGTCGACAGTAAAGCCGTTGGATGACACAGATGAACACAATCCTGCTCCGTTACACGCTTTTACAATGCAGAATAAGTTTACCCCAGGGATAACGATATGCTGCCAGGTAATTGCTTAACAAAATACAAAACAAATATAGCTCACAGAGAAATGTATCTAATGTAATGACGTCAACAAGATTAGAAGAATCCAAGTACAATAATTAACATTATAGCAAATTTGATTTTGATCATTTTTGGAGAACATTAAAAACGTATACAACTACGTGTGAGAGAAAAATGAAATAGATAGAGTAATTCAGATTGTCTTTATATTGAAGCCGAAAGTTTTTCAATTCTTCTAAATACTGACATGAACTAACTATGTTTTGGTGATTCGAGTTAGTCGGTATCCCACCTGTTTTGGTTCCAAAAGAAGACAAAGTTCTGACATCATCCTGTAGAGGTCGGGTTCCTAGCCCCACTAAGTAGTACCGAACTCCGGAATGAGGGTCACTGAATCCGGACCAGTGACATCCGGCGTGAGTCGTGTTAGCCTGAAAGTCTACGTCCGGCTGTGGATTCAAGTAAACATAAATAGTGTCTAATTTGAACCTTATTAATTGGTGTATCCTATCCCGAAGCCGGAAAAGATTATGTATCACAAGACATATTGGGATTAAATTTGATAATAATGAATTAATAATAAAATATATCATACCGTTCGAAATAAAAGTCCATCTCGGACGGAGCCCTCTGAAGGTGGAGATTGATCGACAACAAATGATTCTGACGATGATAACACTGGCAATCTCGCCCTGTTCGTCACCTAATTAATGAAAAGATATATGTTCCGTGTTATGAATTCATATCTATACCATATATATATTACGTTTCATTGCTGTAAGAGTTAAAGAACAACAACTTACCAGTATGATTACGAAGTATTTATGTCCATCATGTAGATCTGACAGGCTAGTGAAAGTGGCATAATCACCCGAGACGTCACGGAAATCTATTATGTCTGGTGCCGATTGTGTTGACCCAATTCCTAATTGAATTCTATCAATTCCACTCTCGTCGTCATGGAAACCTGTCCAATGGACGTTGAGCTTTGACTCAATAGTGTTTTCTACCATCAGATACGTGCCCACATGAAGCGTACCCCTGACAGGAGGCGTATCGTCATATAGAACTCCGGGGGAAACCACTGTGCTCGAATGACCCACGTGATCAAATGCTGGTCAGAAGAGAAGAGATTAGTTACAGCGAGACCTGCCAACATGTGCAGATTATGACAGTTGAGAAAATAGGAATATCCAGATTCAATTGATTTATTTGGTGTTTTTTCATGTTACTTATATGCCACGCTGTTGGAATCACCATTACAATGAGAGCTTTGTAAAATAAACCTACCAGTCACTGTGGCGTAGTATGTTAAACCAGGATGGAGACTTGGGTTGTTAACTTTCACGGAATTTGACAACCCGATTGTTGTCTTTGCCACAACGTCCTGTCCGAAGGGGTTGCTTCCTATAAAACGAAGATTGCATAGAATGGAACGCGTTCAACAATATCTAAACATAAGCAAAAACACCGAACGTGCCTTAAGTCTTATTGTTATAAGAGTATAAACTCACTTACCTATAGAATATTCATATCTCGATATACCGTCGGGATATCCCATCTTTACATAACCATGGAAATCCTGAAAGTTATCCCAGTGAACCAGTAGGTGACGCGTGCTTGTGATGTACCCTTTCTCTGATGCTATTGAAACGTCGCCATTTGCAGGAGAATTTCTATCAATAACAAATCCATCACCGCAGGTTTGGAACGCAGAGTGGATTTGTCCATACTGAGTTGTACGTATTGCTACCTCAGCACAGACATAATACAGTATTTCATTTTCAAGGATAACTCCATGAAAGGCAGAAAACCCTCCATTTGTGTGAACGATTGCAACACACAAAGGGTTATCGTCACACGCCAGGGATTGATTTTTGGTATCCTTTAGAAGATACCAGGTGACAGGACTCTCTTCCAATCCTAGAATTATTCCTCCAACTCGCACAGGCTCGGAAGAGAAATCAAGCTCGGCTTTGTGTAACCAAGCCAGTTTGCTCCCTATATTAGCAGCGTAGATTGAGTTCTTGATGTCTCTAATAACGTCCGAGTCCGAATCAACTTCGTACAACCGGGTTTTGTCGAACAGATTTGGGTCCTCTCTTATCGTAACCGGAACACATTGATGTCCACAGGGTCCCATAAGACAATAGACCTCTGCACAAGTAAACAGTGGCTGGTGCGGATAGACTGGAACTTCTACACAATGTTCCACCTGTGGAAAAGAAACACGATATATTTGTTTAAAAATTGGCATGATTGAACTTAAATACAAATCAAATAAAGCCAGGAACATTATTGTAATCGCATGAAATATAATATTGCATCAGTATTGACGAATTTATGTACGTACCGTCAAATCGTCATTTTCGCGTTCAGAGTGATGATATATACTCCAGTTTGATATTTGTGTTGTTGCCATGTTATCAAGGAACAGACCCCAACGAATGATGACGTCATCAAGATGTGTGTCGTCTATCCCAGACGGACATGTCACGTTTGATATTGTCAGTTTTACGTTTAAGCATGTATCTTCAGTTTTGTCTAAGAATGCCTCGATGTTGAACCGATCATATCTTGATTCTAATAAAACAAACCCATTTGAGTTGATCCAATTGAAACAGATGTTCTCAATACAAGGTCTAACGGAAACCACATACCTTCCCTTTCGCAACGGAATGTCCCTAAAAGTGTAGTTGGCGACAACACCAATTGATTTTCCATATGCAATGGTCACCGGATCAGCTTCTGTGTTTTTGTCACCTTGTATGACCCGCAGTTCCAAGTCACTATGCGACAAATATTTCAGGAAATCATTATTAGCCCAGTAAGCGAAAATTTGCCTGGATCCGATTATTACGTCATTGTCTACGTTACAACTGGCAAAAGTTATACTCACTTGGACATCTGCATGATCATTTGCAGACACTTTGAAACTGGGATGCCGAACTATCGGAACAAATGCTGTATAGAATAGGTAATTTATTAGTGCCTGATGGTAAATATGTGCTTCTCTGCTGAAAACAGATATACTGGCGTTTGATATAAGCGTATATGTATGACCGACGTGGAATTGTGTACCACTTGGAATATACTCGAATTCTTCTGTTAAGAACAGCGTGGTCGTAGAAGTTCCTGTTTGTTCAAAACACCCTTGTCCATCAAATACTTGCAGAATAGAAGTGGCAATATCCGATCCGTTGACCAGCGTGAAGCCATCCGATGTACCGATACGTTTTCCACCTGAGGACGATGCACGAATAGCCGTATAATACCGGCTATACTGTTGGAGGTTGGTGTTTGCTTCACAATGAACACCGACATCACGCACAGTGTGAAATGGGACTACGTCATCAGCTCCTGGATTTCTCCCTACTCCAAGTTCATACTCGACCGTGCCGTGATGTTCAAATCCCTCCCAAGCAACACATAATTCCGACGATTCCAGCAAAATGTCGACGTCATCGTAGTCTCTGGTAATGTTCGATCTTACTTCAGGTATGACCTCATAAACAAGGCCATGACCCGGTGGGAAACTAGAGGGAAGGTAGAATGGTTCGGTGTTCACAGTACAGTGATAACCAGCGTTGTTATAGGCATAAACTGTGATGTAAAACTCGAATTGCTTGTCCACATCGTACTTGTGCAGATGCGCCTCGTCAAGCTTAAAGCATGATTTATCTTCACATTTCGTATGGAGTAGAGGTTTGAACCCGGACACAGGACTCCCATTTCGTCCTGACAAATGTAAAAAAAAAAAATTCAATCAGTATGGCATACAAATTAGTACTGTTCGTATGAAACTTTTTCTCAATAACAAGGTTGATTAACGTCATTTTCATCAATACCAAAGCTTTAAAATGTTATACAATAAAACAAACGTTAACAATTATATATATGATATAACAAGGATAATCTTTAGCTAATTTCCTGAGAAATAATTAAAACAATATTGTTACGTTTTGACAACTTTTTGAAAAGATATTCTTCCTGATAGGGAGTTTCAGAGTTATTTATATTTTATGATAGGGTGAACACATAACTCACCTATTCGGTAGAAGAATGATGAAATAACCTCCTGCTGCTCGTTGTCGCTGAACTGGCTGTTATTCCAGTGGATGTACACATAACCGTCACGGAGGCTGGCAACAAGTATAGGCGGGCAATGGGGCGGTGATTCATCGAGGAGGACTGGACCAATTACTGCCGTCGTTTGTAGGCCAGCACTGTTGGTAATCCTTACGAAGACGTAAAACTCATCTCCGTTATTAAGACCAGCATGTCTATCTCTGTAAAAGTGTTTATGCTGGCTTTTACGGTAATCTATTAAATCTGGATTCGCCACACTTCCCTTTGTTGATCCTATCCCCACGAAGGCCTCGTGCACTTGACTATCGTTTTCTATTATATCCCATTTAAGGTTTATCAGATCGATTGGGAGGTAGATAATCCTAGGTGTAGAACTTATGTCACAGGTGTTATCAGCTAGCGTGATGTATGTGATGTTCTTGGGCAAAACGGAGACAAAGTCATTCTTTGATGTATTCATACACTGACTGCTGCAATCAGCATCACCCATTTCGAATTTAGTTAAGTTTGCTGAAATAAACCAAGCGCTTCCGTCAGAACAATGAATGGCTTCTTTAATACACGCGCTTTGCATTGTTAGATTTACCACCTCAGGAGCAGACCTGTCAAGTACGATGCCATCCGAACAAACAGGCTGTGACGGTTCCATAGCGTTATTGTAGGCAACAACAGTCACGAAGAACTTGCCTTCTTCTTGTAGGAACAAGCGGTTAGACGTCAACGTTGTTTCTTTAATGATTGTGTTGTTGCTTGCGATACTGCTATTAAAACCAAGAAACTCTGCAATTCCTAGACACTCAGTAGCCAATCCTACTCTATATAACTTAATCCCACTCTCATGGTCAATGAATCCAGCCCAGTTAACGATGACCGACTCCTCACTAGTATAGTCGATATCTGGTGTCCCGGACGGCCCTTCTATTACAACCCCAGGAGACGGGGGCGAATCGTCAGCTAAGACATCTAAATGTTTGATATAGACAAGGCGGGCTACATTTGTGGCTGTTATGGTGAAGTGATACCGACGGTTGTGATTCCCTATATGGGTATTTCTATGTATGAGGGAATTCAAAGTAAGCGTGAAATTGAAGTACAAACATGGTCCTACTGAAGGACAGTAGCAGGTCAGTGCTCCCTCCGGGCATGATGCCTGTAATTAAAACACGATTGTTAGACATATACATATAAAAACAGATGTTTGGCTGTTACTTTCAAATTATTGTTTTGAGTTGATCAAGGCATTTTACACAATATAATAATATAATAGCATAAATCTCATCACATTATTTTCAATTTGTTTGCATCAAAACGTCTATCACAGTTGAATAACTTTTGACTATTTATGTTAAATTGACCATGGGATATGGGTAATTTGCAAACTATATCTGAACCACGCAAATAGAATTAAATCTACCATTATAAATTGGTTCTATTTTCATCAAGTGGTTTATGAAAACAAAAATTCCTACCGACACCTCATCATGATACATAATTCGAAATATATATATATATATACTGTATTACAATAGGGATATCACTATTATTTTCCGACTTTTATATGTTCAAAATAATCATACATATAACCCTATTTAAACAGGTAGGCGTGTTTGCTGTAAAGAAACTGACACCTGATTCACGATGTACTGATACCATATTACTTGAAAGCATCGTAATACTATTTTAAATACATCTGGTAAAAAGATCACAAACTTATCTCTATAGTAAAGACCACAGTACTTACATTTGCGTTGAGTCGCTGAACACCCAGGGAACCTTGTCCGATATCGGTACTTTCATATGTTGTACCAAGGGACCAGTCTATAGAGTAAATGCCGCTGTGGATGTCCAGGACATCAAATGTGAGAGTCATCTTAGACAGGTCGGAGCTGTTGTGTATATAAAGTCGTTTATATCCATCTTTTTCAAGCCACAAATTAACTATTTCAGGTTCACTTGAATCTATGCGAGTTGTTAGGGATTCTGAGTACGTATGGTTCATAATATCTTTTGCCACTATGTCTACACGATAGGTTTCCCCGTCACCCAAGGTTGGAGAGACGCACAAGGTCTGTGATGTAAAGTTAGGAACGTCAGTTTCCAGAACTATCAACTGCTCGTCACGTGTCAATGTATAAAGAAACATTGTTATACCATGGACGTTTTCAGTTCCTGTCACTGGGAGAATTCCGGATGTCTGTTCATAGGCACCGGATATCAAGCCGTGGTGATCTTGTTTTATCGGCCTCAACAGGTTAAGGTGGTATAATTTATCATTGTAGTATCTGTCAATCCAAGAATAACAGATCTTTCCAAGGTTTGTTTGCCACTTATATTCTGTATTTATTGCTGCCGTTGTGGAATATACCGGTTTATCATCTCGTGCAAATATTTTGGATGAATTGTCGAATATGAAAAATCTGCGTGCTTGTTTGACGTTGTTAGCGACGTCTTTTACCTCCAACACAACAGCGTACATAGCCGGATTATGTAGGCCCGATGGTATTGTGATGTTTAGTGGAGAAGTTTGCTCGATTGGGGGGATAACTGGAGTACGACCAACGTCGAGGAAGTCTGTCCCTGACTCCTTTACCTCGTAGAGGTTTACCACGTACGTGTCTATACCGGAGGCAAACTTTTCATCTCCTGTCACAGGCGAGGGGTCCTCCCATCCCGAGAACGTCACTGTGAAGTCTCGACTCGTCAGGATGCGGCTGGTCGAGTAGAGTGGTTCTTCACTACAGACGTTGTGTTCACGACAATGTATCGGCGTTGCGTCATCATACCAGTAACATAAATCCCTCGATGTGGATGTCTTCGTGTATGATATAAAATTCGTAGAATTATTTTGCACATTCTTGGCAATCAGATGCCCTCCTCCATGTACGCCGAATCGCAGACATAGCCTTCAATACAAGTATAAGAAATGTATTAAAGCTCAGCTATTGTGATTAAAATTTTAAAAAATGTCCCTATAAGAATAGACAGATACAAACTACTATACAATTCACGGCATGTGGTAAAAATACAAAGATCTAAATAACACATAGCTACACTCGGAATCAAACACATGCAATACCGTATATCGAAATATGTGATTATGAAAAGTTTTGATCATTTTAAAAGTATAAGAGACATAAGGAAAAGAAATCGTTCCGTTATATATATATATATGTATATATATATACTACGAAGGTATGCATACAACGGTTTTTTTCAAGACTTTCCAAATCAAGCTACAAACCGTTGTCCATTTTCCATATCACCATTGCTGACATAGTTATCCATGACCCGGTGATAAGACACGAGAGTCTCAGGGCTGGTGCTTCCCGGGTCTTCTTTGATTTGAAATGTGGTTACAGTTTCTGAACCTGCATTAAACAACATGTAATGTCAATAAGATTAGTACGAAATCTCGACCACACCCGAATGAGTCAGACGATGTCTGCATCTGTCTCTGGACTGGACAAAATAACAAAAAACCATCTGTCAATGATAATTATATCGATGTGCTTTTTTCATAGTTTCTTTTGAATTTGATTTGGTGTCTTTTGACACAATGGAGAACTGATACTGATCTAACTTTCTACATTCCAAGCTTTCAATAACACGTAAATGATGTTGATATTGAATTCATACGTGCGACACAATCCTAATATATACAGGAAGTAAATCTTAACGTAAACCAACCTGACAATGCTTTCTTCACAAGATCGAAATACACGTCAGTTACACCGAAAGCATATTCATGGACGAAATGTGGCTTTACAGAATCCAGGTGAGACACGTTGACAAGGAAATCGAAACTTGTGTCTGTGACCACCTGTTTAACCTGTATGTTGCCGTAAAAGTCCTGCTGATTGGAGCAATGCGTTGGTTGTCCCGATGGCACGCGAGACATTAGGACGGAGTTGTTGCTGTCAATGATCTGCATTCCGCAAGTCAAGATTTCAGGGGACCTGGTCACTTTTGACGACAGTGAGAAAAATAAACAGAAGTTCAATAAAAAATTACGGACTTGGAGTTTTATCATTCATTCAAGATCATGTTATCTCTTGGGGTATTGCTTAAGGTATTTGTTAGAGAGTTAACTTTTGCAATCTTGATTAGAATATAACTGAACATAATTATTTCAATGATATCACATATCAACACAACTGTATTTAGTCATTTATTGTGTTAATACACTTTTTCTATTTGCCGAAATTAAAAAAAAATACCTACATTCACACTTTGCCTGATTTGTATCATATACTCTCGTAAAGCTAGCGTCATCACATTCACAGTTCCTTGCGTAGTTGTGTGTGTCAGGACTACCACAGGTCCCGGGCCAGCACCAGCGGTTTTCCCAAGAGCAAGTTCCTAAGAAAAGCAACAAATACTCTTTATTATACAACATTTGTGCAGAGTCTTATATTAATGAATCGCAAAGAAATAACTCCAACACCTTATATATATTTACACTAACAGACTGCTCGTTTTCCCCTGATTGTATTGTTCTTTACCAACCAGGATATAGTGGATTCAGCCTTACTCACGTCAATATTACAACGTTCTTCGTTTTGAACCATCATATAAATCACGGGGTGTTATATAACCTGAATGCTAGAGTACTGAAATCGTGTTACCGAACCCATATACCTCACCTGTAACAGCTGAAATTTGGCCAAACATGTCAGGGACATATCCGCCGTCTGCATCATCCGATCCTTCGACATTGCGCGCCCCCCCCCCCCCCCCNTATCAAGTACATGTACAAAGTTAATACTTCGTTTAAGACTTTCAATAACTGTAGTAACTATTCTTTTGAGACATATAATCGGAATCGTAATACTTATAATAGCAATTGAGCTCTCATGCTATATGGATAAATACAGATGAGACGACTCTTTGTAACGTAAGTTTCTATAATACAGCGTTGCCAGGTAAACAATCACACTAGGTGAGTGTTACCTTTAAGTGACCGTCTTTTATCATAAAACAACATTTTCCGACAAAGAGCGACACTTTTTTACAATTGCCATAGCGTGTTATATAGACAGAATGTAATGACAATATTAAGGTAAGTTAATATTGCCTTCAAAACATTGATAAAACCATACAGGGGAGAAGGGCTTGTTTTGTGTAATTTACGATTTCAGCGGGAAATATCATCCTGGTCTGTGAAAATACCTTTCACCGGCATCATTGAAGCGTAGCTGTGCACTACAGTACTGTACAATTAACTAGATACTTATTCTTTACCGTCTTGAATATATTCCAGTGATCACCTGCTGGTTTAAATTACATTAAATCCCTTACTACAAGAGACAATGACTGCTCAATATCGTTCGTTAGTGTATTGATACCGGTGGTTTATGATAGATTTATTAATGGTTTGTGTATCAATACCGATGGTGTGGTGTAGACCTATTGACTATTTGTATATCGATACCGAGGGTTTAGGGTAGATTTATATAATGTTTATGTATCAATACCGAGGGTTTAGGGTAGATTATTAATGGTTTGTGTTTGATACCGAGGGTTTAGGGTAGATTTATAGAATATTGATGTATCAATACCGACGTTTTAGGGTAGATTAATAATGGTTTGTGTATCGAAACCGAAGGTTAAGGGTATTCTATTAATGGTTTGTGTATCGATACCGAAGGTTTAAGGTAGATTATTAATAGCTTGTGTATCAATACAGAGGGTTAATGGTAGATTATTAATTATTTTTGTATCGATACCGAGGGTTTAGGGTAGATTATTAATGCTATGTGTATCGATACCGAGAGTTTAGGGTAGATAATTAATGGTTTGTGTATCAATACCGAGGGTTAAGGGCAGATTATTAATGTTTTGTGTATCGATACTGAGGGTTTAGGGCAGATTATTAATGATTTGTGTATCGATACCGAGGGTTTAGGGCAGATTATTTATGATTTCTGTATCGATACCGAGCATTTAGGGTAGATTTATTTACTGTTTGTGTATCGATACCGATGTTGTTAGAGTAGATTGATCGATTCTGCTATATAAATCTGTAAAAAGTCACTTACTTGTACACGATCTTCCACCATTGTCCAGTTTGAACAGGTCAGCATCCCGACATTGTGTACACCACCGATCAGTGATACTGGTACATTGCGTATCTATGCAATCAGTTATTGTATCGCAAGCTTAAAGAAGATACAATAAAAGCGTGTTATTATAGAAAACGAATTATCTAACGCAATTTGTCACCGTCTGCAATGTAACGACCCCTTTTTCAATAGATAATAAACATGAAATATTAACAATAATCTATGTAATTGAATTTATCATTTTGAAACAAACAATGCATGTGTAATACATTACTTCCAAAACCTTGTCCCGCATATCAAATGAAATCAAGTCAGCCATGTGAACAGGTTTTTGGCAAATGTATTTTAGAAAGAGGAAATGTCTTTATATATCCACGCTAAGCTTGCAAAACATGACCAATGTTTACATTGTCTAGACGTTATGACATCGACGGTGACAGCGGGTTATTGTTAAATGTAAACAAAAGTCAACGTGGCAAATGTTTGCACGTATTGAAATAGACAAGGAATTATATTTTCAATGTAACAGACACACATGGGATTGTACCTATACAATCTGGTATTAAATACAGCATGCCAAATATGAGGTACACTTACCAGAAAGCTACATCATCATGATGCTAGACGAAAAACGTGGAAATCCAAACTGGTCTTTAGTACAGTTAAAACAGAAGGAAGGTACGTCAAACTACTTAATTTTATGAATTAAATCAATTAGAGGTAATGCTTTAAATAAATAAGAGGAAAACAGGTTTTAATGAAATAAGATATAACCAATACTTATTTGTATACTATGATGGAATACAAAACTCGAGATTCGAAAATGTTGAAAAAATAAAGGACTTCCGGGGGTCCTGTGCCTTCCTTACGAAAAGAAACGCCCATCATTTGTCGATAACCTCTATAACTGTTTGTAGAGGGTCAAACGAGTTAGCACTCTGACCTTAAGGGACAGGAACGTAAAAGAATTTCAAGTCTTTTCGCCTAGAACATTGCTCATTTTTATAAAAATTAACATATAAGCCGTAATGAAAACTGCCTTAATTTCGGATTTCCGAAGCATGAATTATGTTCCAACAAGGTTTCATCAGGTTACAGCAATGTTTTCGTTCACGTACATTTCCACAATAGTGCCCCCATTTTCAATGGTTACCATCACTCTAGCGGTTCGAGAGTGTTAAAAAACTCGGGGTCAGATCAGAGGGATATGTAAAGTTGTTACAACAGCTATGTTTGGATCTATACTGACGTGTTTGCAGTTATATTCGACGATGTAGGGTTTAAATCAACTCTCTGTAAAATGATATCCCCAGTTATGGTATATTATCAAACGTGTTTATAATCGCATTAGACTAACCGAGTTGACGCTTCACTGCATTTGACTGTAAGGTGAAATCAAATACAGTCGCAAGCTTTTGTTTTTTGTTTTTGTTTTCGGTACGGATTCAAAGTAGTTATCCGGTTCGATAAGGTTACGCCCCCTTCAGGAAAGTAGGAGTATTTCAACGACGCCATTAGGCACTGATGGAATATATTTAACGAAGTTATCTTCTTTTTGTCTTGCATTAGAGTATCTTCCTTCCGACGTAATTTTAATGACGCCATTAACCTTATGGCTTACCTTAGACTACTATATCAACTTTCGGCTTACTTCGAACTTAACAGGTTTTTTCCCCAGATTACTTTATTAACGCCAAGGCTTAATTTCGACTATGATATCTTCCTGACAGTTTAACCTCGCTTAATATTACAGTATTGATCTTTTAATAATAGTCTCCGATTGGTTAATCAAATAAAGGCCCAGCCATATAGTTTACTACCAAATACTAACAGTCATTTACATCGATTGTATTACAACTATTATTATTCTAACTTTTTCCACATTGATGTTAGGTTGTCTGATAATGTTAATTCAATCAAGCGCGATGTAATTTATACGTCTAGGCTTTTAATGTTTGTAAAAACATCTTACTAAACTAAGCACATAATCTATCACTAATCCATTGTACCAACAAAATGTATATTTTTTCATTCAAGCGTACATCTCCTTACCCATGCGTTTTAACCAATGGTTCCGACCGCGACATTCCTCAATTCAGTCTTCAGCATCTGTACCGACCAGTTCTGAAAACACGCGTCCGCCATCTTGGCGTCGGTAGTAACCCCCCCTAGTACACGCGCGCCCCCTGGTGAGTAGTGTCGCGGCGGGANGAGTAGTGTCTCGGCGGGAACCATTGTTTACCAATTGTCCTATGAAAAGGTTGTATTAAGAATGTCATTAAAATAACAATGAAAAGACAACCAAAAGGAACTTGGGTAAAACCTGTCTTTTTTCTGCATGTAACATTGGAGATTTCCTATTACATGAAACTTTGAACATATATATGTGACACATTTGTGTACCTTGACCAGTAAGGAACTAAACAATACGGAACATTTCCCGGTGTACGATATGAAATATTGCTACTCACTAGACACACAGGTGTATGAGATTCGTGCATATTTGTATGTGCCTCGACATGGATCTCCCGTCACAGAATTACTAGCGGTCACAGTACAGGTTTGTTTTTCAGCACAGAGTGCTTTGTATCTGGCGAAGGCTACCGATGAGGAGCAAGCTGTGTCCTTCATGGATTGGCCGTCTCGAACACATGTTTGTTGGTTTTTTCGACCGTAAAAAGCGCTCTGGATAACAACAACCTCCATCAAGGAGCATGACAGAGTGGCAGATTCATTCTCACAAATTAAAACATCTGTACCTGGGTAATACAAAAGTAAATAACAAAAATTTATTATTTTTTAATTTATTTTATAGATTAACAAATAAGTATTTATATTTCAAGCTTAAAATTTGATGCACCTGGAACAAAATTACGATATTTTCACATTTTCACATATTTAACATACCTGATCTGTTCTATTAAAATAATAAGTCTTTAAAAAAATCTACATATGTATTGTTCCAGGTTATGAGATACTTGATTGTATTTGAACCACTTGCTTAGATTTGTTAGTCTATTTAATTGGCCTATAATCCATTTTCGCAACGGTATGAGGTTATTTTCCAATGTGTCCCTACCCTTCCCTCTCGGTACCATTACCCGCGTCATCCTCATCCTCATCATCATTATACCATCTCCACATATGATCTTTGTCACTTAATGTCATTTATACAATGACATATTTTTTTCTTGATGACAACCCCTTTATGTTTTAATAGATAATGATGGTAGGCATGCTGCAGATATTATTAAGGAAGATCTTAGGAAAATGACTCTTTGGGCAGATAAACAAGTTATAAGTTTTAACCCAAACAGGACAAAATCATTTTTAATATCCATTAAAAATAACCCTGATGCAGCTCACTCAGACTTAAGACTCTCTAAAAGTGATGTCATTAATGTTAAAACTCATAAACATCTTGGATCGTTTTTGAACAGCCATGGCTCATGGTCAGATCAGGTTTATTTCATGTACGAAAAAAGTTGTACAAAACTTCAGATAATGCGAATGCCTAACCACAAACTTGACAGAAAGTCTCTTTAGATCATTTATAAGTCTTTATAAGACCAACACTAGAATAAGCTAGTGCTGTCTGGAATAATTGTACACAGAGTGAAAGTGATCTACTTGAATCAGTTCAATGATATTGTCTTAGGATAATAACAGGTTTGAGAAGAGGAACCAGTCATAATTTAATTCATAAGAAATTTGATTTAGAAACATTAAAAAGAAGGCGTACCAATCATCAGTGAAGTCTATTTTTTTAAGATACTGTAGCATGACTGTCCTAATCATCTATATTAATGCATTGTACCATATTTGAATACTGATACCAATCCTTGCCTTAGACACCAACTAATGTTTGTATCTCCTTTCTCCAGAACTAGTCTCTAGCATGATCTCTTTATTGAACAAGCCAGACTGTACCTTCCGACAACTCACTTCATTAGGGCAATTAAAACAGGAATTAATTAAGCAAAGCACACAAAACGTACAACCATCAAACTGTACTGACATTTTTGAATATGGTGGAGCTAAGAAATTTAATATAATATGATGTCAACTGCGGAATAATGTCAGTCAACTTAACTCAGATTTGTTAAAAGATCATCTAACTGATAACCCAAATTGTGCTTGTAATAATTGGTTAGAAGGTATAGGTCTTCCTTACTTGCCGCAGATATGCAAATGAAAGGCAAAATTTATTTCATTAATTATCATTGTACCACATATTGTATTATGTATCATTAATTTCCTGCAATTCTAGTGTAACTGGTTAATATGATTTAGAAGTGCCCTAACCAAACACTATACCTACCCTGTTAAAATCTCTGATATTCCAATGGTTCGGTCTACCCTGCATTGTGTCTACCTCACTGAATATATTACATCTTCAGTTTACATGCAGTATATGTTTAAAATGTATATCCTTCCTTATGGAAAGGGCTTTTATAGGCAATGCCTGTGCCCAATCCTATTGATAATTGCAATAATAAACTAATTTTGAAACGAAATAAATATATTCACATTTCATCATATTTATCATCATCATCGTCATGACACAGTTACACATAACCCCAATCAATAACATCCTTGTCTCTCCCGTTCAAAAATGTATGTTTCACCAAACGTGGCAGAAGCACGAAAGGAAATATCGGTAAATTCTGTTGTTCTCTTGGAATATATATAGCATTCAACAAGAAAACATTTATTTGTTTTTCATTTGTTAAATAGATATATATTTAAAGGAAAACGATAAAAAAATTGCTGACATTTGACGCCACATACTAATGACGTCACGGTTTTGAACGTTAACTCATCGCAGTTCTACTGATTGCTGCTATTAGCTGGCAAGATGTCAGTAATTATATTATATCAAATATGATGTGACGTAAATATCTTAGTGTATGTAGCAAAGGCGTACCACTTGTTCTTCCGTTTCTTCATTTTACTTTATATACAGTGAATAGAAAAACCCATACTGAAATCTTTATAATCTTCATATACTATAAGTTTTATCTTTATATGTGAGGAAAAAACATTTTGTACATCTTCACGGCTGTAAAGATGAAAGGTTTTATCAAATTTAACATAATCTGTCATTTTAAGTGAAATGTTTGGTTTTGACCATTTGCAGAACAAATTCATACAATATCTTTCAAATCTAGTATACGATATGTACCATTGATCAAATTAGTATTTTCCCTTCAATTATAGATTGGTCATTTTAAAAAAAAATCTTGTAAAATAAGTTCTACAAACAACAGACATCTAGTTTATTGACACATTTTTCAGACGCGTTTTTGTGTTGAAAATTGATCATAATTTGTTCAATAATACAAAAACTCGTTACATGAGATCAGATCAAAACGAGACTTCAACGTCATTGAAACATCAGAAGAGTACATTCTTAAACGAATTATTATATCCCTTTTCAAGGTCACAGAAGTCAAATGTGTTAAATCCTTTTTTTGATCTAGAAAATTACAGAGCCTTCTTGATTATTCGTTTCGCTAAATTAAAACATGTCTTTTAGAAGTTGATTTGCCTCTTATATGCGCCAAAATACTAACCATTTTGCTCATATATGACTATCGTTTTGATTATTTTATAGCTAATGATTTAATCCTGATTTTTTTTTAAATCTCCCAATTAAACAATATGTATTATCATGCGAGTCAATCTCAAATGCCTTTTATTTTTACTCAAATCATTGAAAAAAAACTAGTGCTATTCTGGTTACCTGTCTATTAGACATTTCCACACAGAAATACGTTTGTTTTTAATCCATGCAGCTTAGATTTTAAATATCATCCAATGAAATTGCATGTAACAAACAAATAAAACAATTATATTTGGTTAAATATTACTCACCGGATACAGGTTGTACAATACATAGAATGGCCACCGTAATAGCAACAGATGCAGCCTCCATTGTTTTATGCCTCATTGCTCACCCTGATACATAGAATGCAAAGATAATATTAAAGTTTGAACGTTGTGAGTACCAAAACATGTTTATATAGTATTGCTTTATTATGCATGTGTCTTTAATGATATAGAGGAAAACACTTTGCTGACCTTTATTTTCCCCTGAATGTCTTAAGAAAAACTATACGACACATCACATTAGTGACATTGGAACGGATCAGGGGTATATCTGCTTACTGAATTATGCTAACGTCCTATGATCTACCTGAACTCGTCAAATCATTTATGATCCTATTGGTTAACGATACAGAAGAAAGAAGACAAGGCTTCCCTACCAATAACCTGAAAAGTATGGAGGAATGGAGCAAAAAGTGGCTCCTATAGGTACACCTACAAAAAATATTAAAATATGTAACATGGAAAATCCAGCACACGGGATAACAGCTTACTATATAACGTAGTGCTAACCTATACGGAAATCGAGAAGGATATCGGAATAATGGTCGACACAAACTACACCTTTTAGGGCAATTTCAGTGAGAAAGTGAACATTAGCATGCGATGCTTATAAGGGCGTTCAATAATAAGGATAAAAAACAATCCTGCTGCTATGCACAACAGCATTGAAATATCTTCCTCCCTATGTAAACAGACTAAAGTAGCTTACGCTAATATACCGTTGTATTGTAGGAGACAGGATAAAAACTTATGGAACAATGAATGACACACCTGACTATATACAACTATATACAAACCAACATTCTCAAATCTTGGAAGGTGTCACCGCAAAGAATAGTAGTAGACGGAATTCCCAAAATAACGTGTCCACAGAAGGTCAAATCGGGCAAGAGATACCACATTTTCTCTTTAAAAGTGGCCAGAATATGGAACTGCCCACCAAACACGTACACATTAATAAATAGACTAGACGGGCATGGAAAAACCACTGGCTACTTTTCAATTTTTGCACTGAAATTGCGACATGGTTAACAGGAAATGAAAGACTACCATGGAATCAAACAATAAGTCTGGTGAAGAGCAATAATAAGTTCTTGCACGGGTCATCGACTACAGATAGTGTTGAGTAAGTGATATTTGTATATCGATAGATTTTAAAGCCATTTTATTAGGAATCTGCCAGATTTTTTTTTAATCTGATTAGACTTTCGATAAAGGAGGTGTCGCCAAATGGCCTTCTGGTGGCTATCACCGATAAGTAGTTTTTGCATGAATATATCTTGGGGTTATGTCATCATGATAATTATGATATGAAATTAAGGTCAGCTTGGAGATCTTTCCGAGATAGGAAGGGGTAATGTGGGGGACCAAAATCACCAGTGGCCTCTTTTTGACAACCTATTGTTATTTTTTTTAATTTCATTATACATGTAATTATGATGTATTGTAGCACTAAAACGGCAAATTAAAAAAAGACGAAATTATAATCAAACTTTCACGAGAATTAACCAACTGTAATGTTTGGCTTGTTAATTATAAATGATCTTTATACCTGGTAAAAACAGAATGCGTACTGTTTGTAACAGACAAAATGTAAAGAAAGTTGAAAACAAGATATGTAGAACAATTAAGACGTCAGATCCTGTAGGCTATCTTGGCGTTGATATTGATCAGTTTTTACCTGGATACGTCATTGCAGAAAACATGACTTAGAATATCAATTCTCTAATTTTTTTATACAGCCTATGTAAAGCTCTTCTTTTGGATATGTTTATGTAATATGGATTACTGCTGTTGGACCCAGTTTCATGGTTTACGCCAGAGATTAAAAGTCAGCAGCAAGTAGCACAGGACATATGCATACGTTTTATGTGTGATTAATGACCACGGACAAGAATTGATGGAATTGTTTTCAAATATTCGAAATCGGACGAAACAGTTAGCATTAAATCATATGTTTAAATTATTTCACGAAACATGCCCAGGCTACATCACAGAAAAAATACCCGAGAAATGAAGGTCTTAGATACAACACAGTGGGCCCTTTAAACATTTCGTTACCTTGCACAAAAGGTCAGACAGCTGAAAACAATTTTTTAGTGGTAGTAAATTTTGTTAATTTGGAATGTTTTAGCGTTTGATATCATGCTTGTGACCAACAAAATCAATTTACAGAAAGGAATAAAAACATATATTTTATATAGTCTTTTATTGCTCCATGACTACATCTAAATTTGGCCTAACGTGTGGTTTACATACACATGAATGAGTAATAACTGTAATTCGAAAGTACTAATGCATACCTTTTTGTAGAAATACTTTAGTTGTTTTTATATTAGGAATAAAGACTCAAGAATATATTATTGTGATAATTCATTGACGCCTAACATAATCGAACATTTTATGTCAAAACTAAGTTTGTTTAATGAACATAAATCATACTGATAACCCTACATATGCGTATGTGATAATAATGATAGGGAATATCGAATGTTTACTTAATACACAGACAATGTATGCATTGAACGTGTCGCAACGTTTCAAGACCTACTGGTCCCTTTGTTAGGCTATGACTTTACACAAACAATGTTCGTATTAAACATGTCACAACGTTTCAAGACCGACTGGTTCCTTTGTCAAGCTATGACTGAGTGAGCAGTTTGTATTTTTACATGTACAACGACGTGAAAAAATTGTATGTTTTTATGTAATTCGACCCGTTACATTTCGGCTATCGATAGAAAGCGTATACACACTGCATGCGTATTTTCATTGTGAAATAATTAAATCTTAGTTAGAAATATTGGGATCTTCTAATGATATGGAAATAAAGACCCTAACACCTCTATGAATGCTTGCATAGGGATGGAAAAAATGAATTAAATGTTAAATTCACCCGCTGAATGAATGTGACATCAAAAGAGATGGAAGATACAATTGGATTAGATCATTTTTAAAATGTTTTCCTCAAGAATTTATTTAACATAATGTAGTTTAAACTTTCCTCAATAACATCACGACCGCGCCATACAGCTTGAGAAATCATTAAAGAATATCACTTGAGATAAGTATTCCTTTATTTATAACACATGGTTTGTATGAGTCGACTTGGGTCAGGTCGAGGAATAGACACTTATTTATACCGAACACATATTGTTTTACTTCCTGGTGTAACTGAAGTGTTTAATAGAACAAGTTAAATTCAGTCAGGGCATGCAATCCGGTTGAGGACTGTACAATGATATATATATATATATAAATCTATCGAACGTGTATTTCTTGTGATATTTTGTACGTAAATACTACAAAGTATCGAGTGGAATTTAAAGGTTAGGAAGAAAGATTGATTTTAATAGTGTTTATGACCTGGCGCTACTTACGAAGTGTTTTGGATTGTAATTCCAACTTACACATGGATCACCATTATATCTACCCGTCTAAGTCTGAGATTTTGGGGGAGACGAATATAACAGTTGTTTGAGACGTAAGTAATATGTTTCATTCATATCATAATTTAGTTATGTAAATTTCTATATTTATAATATTACCCATTACTCGATTATTAATGATATCATACTGTAATTTAAACACAATACAATGTAGAAATGACTAACATATTTATATTTACTATTACAAATATATCTGTATTATTATAATCAATGTCTTTTTGTGATAAGCAACATTTTCACGGATAAAAGTCTTAATTAGAAAATCGATATTCTATAACTTCTTGTATGATTTCCCCCGGTGATCATCTCTTCCAGCTATTTAATCTATGGAAGCGCTGACATTTTAGTTAATGATTCGCTTGATTAACGCGTATGAATCTCGTTTAGCAGTCAAACCGATTATCCTTCTACCGCATGATGGTCCCGCAATTATATACACTGCGTGATCCGATCGGCAACCAATATGAAAAAAATCTAACACACTTACCTGAAACGTGGAAACGCCGCAGAGTTGGTTCTTTCTTCTCCAATGGCGTTAAAGTCGTGTATCACACATATATATCGCAGCCAATAAATCCCATGTAATTAATTTGTCGATTTCACGTGTATAACATCGCCACCAAACATGAGTATTCTTATGTTGTCTTAATCATATTTATGCAGATGCCTTACTTCACATAGCAAAACACATGCAAATGCCACAGTCCCAGATGTATCGTCATCAGTGTTTCATAAGTGAACTGTACTGTTGGAAAGATACGGGTAAATAACACTCATGCGATATCCAAGGCAGGCTTAAAAGTTTGTCGTATGCTTATTTCCTTTTTCTTGTCGCTTGTGATTTTTTTTCATCTGATTAATATTGCTTATAGATTTAAATTATTTGTAATAACATTTTTTCCATATTTGATATTCTTCAACTGATCTTATTGAAATGATTTAATCGACAGAAAGTACTATTCTGGGTAGATGTATCACCTTGTGCATTTGTTGAACAAATGCTCACTGGTTTTACAGGTAATGCGCTATTTTTAGACCCTGTTAGGTTCTGTCTACTTACCAACCAAATACAAACTTAAACGTCGGCGCTTCCCTAGATATTACGACCGGAGCTGAAAACCAGCATTCTGAACATTTCAACTCGATCTTTGTTTTTAAATCTCAATTGAATGTTTTTTACTTGCACTATCAGCTATAAAATGGCTTTGTGTATTATTTCTATTTCAAGTATTGTTCTGTCAACCCATTTTATCTCACATTTCTGTTTCGATACGAGTAACTGATTTGATAGGGACGGTGTTTGCCTCCCAATTCCGAAAATAATAAAAAGATTTATATTTTAAAGCCGTTGATCCTATGGTTGATAAGATAAAACATTTTGAAAGACAGACAGACGTGAATTTATGTTCAGCTTATATTAGAAAAGTCCACAGACGGTAAAGTATTATGTTGTTTTATCATATACTTACTTGAAATATCGACCAAATTGCATATGTGATAGTGTTTCATTCCGATTGTCGAGAAGCGGTGCGCAGGCTCACCTTCGAGTCTATGGCAGCCATCGTTTTACTATCTCGAAGTAGAGAGCGGCTAAACAAGGTTCTACGTCTTCTGTAATGTGAAGCTGCAGTTATTGAATGTCGAATTTGACAGGACACCAGACGTGGCTTGAAAGGACGAAATAATTTGATATGGCAGTTGGCTGTTCGACTGCATTTTATATAAGGCGGGACCATATTAATCTACCACAGGGGTTCGTTACAAATGTCTGAAATACACATATGATATACTGATATGGGTCACAGCACAAATAAATAGTATATGTGTGCAGGGACCCATATCAGTAAAGCATATGTGTATTTCAGACATTTGTAACGAACACCTGTTGATCTACGTTGTGTTCGATTTGTACCGGGATTGATACTGATACTGACACAAGAGTTAGAATTGGTAGCTGGAGGGATAATTTCTAGGCTAGTACAAGACTTGTCACTACCACTAGCAACAGTGAGCTGATAATATTTTGCTTATTGTTCGTTTTTGGTTGTTTGAACAATTTCTTGTATAGCTTCAATACAAATGTATAATCTCATCAAGTGGTGTCTTTGTTTAAACATGTCAATAGTTATATCCCTTCGCAAAATCATACGCACAGACAATGTTAATCTGATCAAATTAATCGGCAAATGAAACAGGCTACACTTGTTAGTTGCATTGAGTCCAACTTGAGTAGGAATTGAAATAGTTAGTACTTAAATGATATCTATTGTGAATAGAACGGACCGTACTTAAGTAATAGTTTGCACACTTTCACACTTATGAATGGTCGACATTTTGCGTATCACTCGTAAAGACTCTGTATTTGGCTGTTCGAATATTGTTAAGGGACTCAATATTTATGTGACTGTCCCAGTAAAACCAGAAAGTTTGGTCTCACCAATTAGATCATATAGTTCTCATATAGGCTATACTGATATTTATGTTGTAGCAAAGTTGTGAATGTCACGCCGTACCACTTCCATTTGTCGCTTTTTCTGGTAGGTAATGTTTTAGAAATGTAGCTGAAATGAGATTTTATGTTATAAGCAAAATGTTTGATCTTTATATTTACTAAGTTATAATCAAACCAGACATCGCACACACATTTAGATGTGACCATGCACATAGATATGGCGACGAACAATTACTTATAATCTAAACAAGGTGTGGGATTTATCTATGCCGATACAGAACTTCGATAACCAATTTTCTTCACGTGTTGCCGAATGTAATTGTTCATAATTAGTGAGTAGGCATTTATTATAATCATCCTAAGTAAACATTACTTTAACAAGACCTTCGACCACATAGTATGCATCTACATACTTTGCTGAATTATAAGATAAACATATGGTTGTCTTATTAATTTAAACAAATAACAAAAAACGATACCTTTGATAGTTTGAAATACTTGGAGTATCAGTGTATACCTAAGAGATAACCACCTATTCACGTTATAAATGCAATGCCATGCTCCGAACTTTGTTAACCTCTTCTTTAGAAGCTGTCGGCAAATTCTCAAGTTAATTTGAATGATTAGGAACATTAGTCTGTGTGAGATAGTTCAATTAAGTCCCATGAATAGCACAACCCTGTGTGGGTAAACAAGGTATCGTTGTATCCTATTATACAAGGCCACATACCGTACGTTAGATGTAAGATTAACTAATACGTATTTATTAAAACGTAAAGCTTAGGATTTTGGTCAGTGATTTATCGTTTTTGTATAAAAAAAATGATACCTGCAAGTCGAGCAAGACATGACACTGAAAGCAATTCCACTTTGTCAATACACTGCCCCATATTTCTTAATCTCCAATAAGCAACTCAATTCTAATATTGTATTCAATGTATGAGTTATCTTTGGTTTGTCAAGTGCTTCATAGAGAGTTGCATACTCTTTTTATATTTGGTGTTAAATTAGAGGATATATACTAATTATGATATAATTATCGTTAAATGGTAAGGAAAGGAAACTAAATGAATATAATAAAAAGTTCCCCAAATTTAACATCTTTGGCCCGTGGGTTTGGGATAATTTAAACCGGTATGAATGTATTATCAAATAACTTTTTGATACGAAAGTTAAATGATAGTCCTTAGAGAAACAGATAAAAACGTGAACGAAGACCGTACACCAAAATTATACCTTTTTGAGCGTATCATTTGCACAGTACTTGAATAGTGTTAACAAACACGTTCGTTGCATTTTCAAAGCACTTCCATAACAATTATCTGATACTTGCTAGCATTTGTCAAACGTTCGGTCATACATTTTACGGAACGCCACTTCTCTGCGAAACGAATATTTGATAATATTCTTGTTAATCACACTGTGAGAAAATTAATGTTTACATTAAATATAACGGGCTTTGAGTCAGGTAAATTGCAGACCTTAGAAGTAAACGCATGAACTTAATTAGAATTAGAACCAAAGTCAGACCTCTGCCAGCACATTATTTTAATCTCATTTGGTAAACAGAAAATGACATATTACCATATATCACCACCTCTTACCATCGTTTCAAATTCGTCGTGACCAAGTTATCTTCTTGATCTTTTCTTTTTCTACTTTTTTTTACTAGCATTGTCAGCTTTAAATTGGCCTTGTGAATAATTGTATTTAAAGTATTGTTCTATCAACCCAATTTATCTCGCAGTTCTGTTTCGATACGATTCACTGATTTGATATGGAGTGGATTTTCCTCACTTTTTCTAAATTAATGAAAAGATTAATATTTAATTTCATTATTTTAAAGCCTTTGATCATATGGATGATAACATAAAACATTTTGAAAGACAGACACACGTGAATTGTTCGTGAATATTTGTTTTGGTTATATTAGAATAGTCAACATACAATAAAGTGTTATATTGTTTTAATTGTTTCTCTTTACAAAAAAACCCCCTATTTTATTCATTTTATTTAAAAACAGCCAATGGTATTTTAAAAGAATATGAATGATTTAAAAAGCATCATATTCCCGATTAAAACTGACTTGAAAATACGTTATTTGATGGGGGAATGTGTAAAACCAATAGCTCACACAAATTAAATCTATATCATCGGAAGCTAATATAAGTTTATAGGAATGTCAATGTGACACCATGAGTACTGACTTTGTTGTTTTCCCAGTTAAAAATTTTGCCGAGTATATATATTGTTTTCGTTAAATCACTTACACTTGTACTACACTGACAGACTCGGAATAATACAGGTACTGAAATTGACAAAACCTTTAAGATGCTCATTATTTCTGTATCATTATATTATGTTATTACTGGAATATTTGGTTATAAATCAAACAATGTTTTATGTGTAATATTGCTTGAAATGAAGTTTGGAACTAAAGTTATACGACATGCGATTAAATAGCATATTGAGTCAAATGGAAAACAGGAGTAGCCTCAGAAGTATTAAAAGGGCATGTATAATGTCAGATAAAGCTCTATGAGTCTTCTCAAATATCAATGTTTTCTTAATTTAATATTATTATTTGGCATAGTCTGATGAAGTTAAACTGCAAGCATTTAACATGGATTGTTCATTCAGCGTTTGCGTGGTTTGGAAAATGCGTTTTCCATTTTGGATTTAAATCAGATCCTTTATTTTTGATTGGGGAATCTTATATATTTAAACAGCCCGGAAAATAAATCCACTTCAGCATTTTCTCGTTTTGCAATTAATATTGCGTAATGTTTATTGCCATTCAAGCAGTCAATATGTACTGTCAATTTATACGAAAAACAAACTAATTTATACCTATCTTTTGAAGGCGAAAATGCTTCGTCGAGAGCAAATTAAGCAACACATTGGATCTGCCTTATATTTTTATTTTTAAAACAGATTCACCACGATAATTCAGGGTTAGCACATAAATGGTATTTGTTGTGGTAGAGCGAACCGTACTCCAGTCATAGTTTGCACACTTACACACTTATGAATGGTCGACACTTCACGTATCACCCGTAAATACACTGTATTCGGCTGTTCGGATATTGTTAAGGGACTCCATACTAATGTGGCTGTCCCAGTAGAATCCAGAAAATTTGACGTAACCAATTAGATCCCATTAATCTCATATAGACTATACTGATATTTATGCTGTATCAAAGTTATGAATGTCATGAAATTACCACTTTCATTTGTCGCTTTTTCTTGTCGGTATTTATTTAGAAATTCAGCTAAACATGAGATTTTATGATAT